CCATCTCCTTCCAATCTTCCGTCTGGACCAGGGCTCTTCAAACTTGGCCCTTTGAGGACTTGTGGACTTCAACTCCCAGAATTCCTCAGCCAGGGCCAAGTTTGAAGAGCCCTGGATTTTACATCATTACAGACCAGTCCTCAACTTACCACCACGGTGGAGCCCAAAGTTCATGGGGCCAAGTAAGAAATGGGTTGAGTTTGTCCCCATTTGATGACTTCTCTTGCCCTATTTGTTAAATGAGTCATACGGTTGTGTGAATGCGGCTTTGCCCGTTGACTTTGCTTGTGGAAAGCTGGCCAAGGGAGAATGTGTGACTCCGCAACCTTGTCTTCTGACCTCAGAATATTCGAGTCGCCACAAAGCTCCTGTTCAGAATTACGGAATTTCCTGGTTGACAGCTTGCCCGGCGGTTGGCAGGCTGCTAATTGGATTTGTCATAGATTGGCAGCTGTCTCCTGACGTGCAACTTGGAGAAGAAGGATCCTTGCCGTGACCTTGGTAGCATATGGAAGTGGGTTGACCGACTTACGGGCCGTACTTAACGACAGCCATGGGGACCAGCGTCTCCATCGTTAAGCAGATAATAATAAGAATCATCTTTATTGATTAGGCCGTGGGCCATATCCAGGTTTCAGAGTTCCAAACACACATTACACTAAAAATGCAACGAAAACAATTTGAGAATGGAACGAGTTAAAATATAATTTAGGCTAAAAGAGGAACGAAATGCAACTTGAAATGAAGTTGGGATGAAAATACATTTTTGAAATGAAATGAGAATCCAGTACGGCCGTTTAATTCATCCGTTGCTTCTCGTCCTGCCTTCGGGTGCTTTGGAGAATAATTTGGCTCCCTCTTCTTTGGGGCAGCCCCTTAAATACTGGGACACTGCTATCCTGTCTCCTCTATTTCTTCTTTTCTTTAGACTAGCCAAACCCAAGTCCCACAGCCGTCCTTCGTACGTTTTGGTCTCCCGGCCTTGGATCATCTTAGTTGCTCTTCTCTGATCTTTTTCCAAACTCTCAACCTCTTTTTTGTGATGTGGTGACCAAAATTGGCTGCGGTGTTCCAGGTGTGGTCTCACTAGTCCAGTGGTTCTCAACCTTTTTAATGCCGCGACCCCCAACCGGTCGTAAGTTTAGGACTACTCAGCCGGTCATAAGTCGAGGACTACTCAACTGGTGCAGCAGACCGGGACTTTTGGCGGGCTCAGCAGGGCAGAGACAGCCTGGACAATTCCTATTGGCTTTTGAAAGCCAATAGAATTAGACTCTATTCAAGAGAGTCTATTCTATTGGCTTTCAAAGCCAATAGAATAAAAGGGAGTAGCACAGCTAAGGAAAAGGGGGAAAAAAATGGCGGACTGCGTTGTTTGGCGACCCCCGTGAAATGGTCGTTCGACCCCAAATGGGGTCCCGACCCACAGGTTGAGAACCACTGCACTAGGGCTTTATAAAGCAGTACTAAGACTTCGTGTGTTCTTGATTCTGCGCCTCTGTGTATACAACCCAGCATTGTGTTAGCATTTTTGGCTGCTACTGCACAATGCTGGCTCAGGGTTAAGTGATCGTCCACTAGGACTCCAAGGTCTATCTCAACAGTTGCTGTTTTTGAGCCAGGTCTCGCCCAATCTGTACTTGTGTCTTTCATTTTTCCTGCCTAAGTGTCAGTGTTATTTCTGTACCCCGAGTGAGATGTCGAGTGGCTGCATTTTTTTTTTTAATCACCTAAAATATTTTAGAAACATTGCAGTAAGGAAGAAGGAAGCGGTTGCAAATTGTTACCCTGTCGGCTCATAACCATGCAAATATTGTTTATTTTTTTAAAAAAAATAATGGTAGTGTCTTAAATAGGCAACTTTGTAATAACCAGATGAAAAATGTAATCTCCTTTCTACACACACACACACACACACACACACACACACACACACACACACACACTCTCCTCTTCATTTGAAAGGATAAGATCAGTTCCCTACAGGGTGGCCTGTTTGGAAGCCCAGAAGAAATAAATTTTGATTAGATATTATGCTTTTTGTTTTCTCCCCTCACCACCCTGCTGGAATAAAATGCAGCTGTTAAAATGGCTCCCTTTTTTAAAAGGTGGGGGGGGGGAAGCAATTTCTCTTGCTGTACTCCAGCAAAAAAAAAAAAAAAGGCATTTAGACGTTAAAAAGATAATTAGAGTGTAATTAAGGGTGGAGGGGAGGGGGAAAAAACCAGCCTTCCCAATCAACATTTTCCTTCATTGTCACATTTTGCTGTTCAGACACCCTTTAAAAGCCTCTATTAGCTCAGCTGCACAGAAGGTCCCTTCTCCAGTCCCTTTGTGTGTTTGTGTAATGTGTGTATTTGTGTTTGTGGCATTAAAGTGAGTCTCGGAATAAGCGCAACAGAATATCTTCAAGAACAGAATAACAGAATATCTTCCAGCGTCGTTGGTTAGCTCAGCTGCAATGTGGCACGGAAGGGGAGAGTTCCTTGTCCTTTTGTGTTTGTGTATGTGTGCATGTGTGTGTAGCACGAAAGCGAATCTCGATGCTTTTTTTTTTTAGGTGGCATTCTAGAAATTGATGCAAGGAGTCTAGCTTTGCATTTTGCAAAAAGTAGAGGGTGGCAAATCCAACCTTGGGTGGTTGTTCTTACTGTTGTTGTGCATGTGTGTGTGTGTGTGTTTCAGGAAGCTGAGCAAGCCTTCCTGTGACATTAGAGGCCTTTTCCTTCCCTGGCACTGGAACTCTTGGGGGGGGGGGGATGGACAGTTTTGACTTTCCTTAATTCTTTAATTTGATTTTAATTCGAAAAACCACTAGACTGTTTTTTAGAATCCCCATTCTAGACCATTCATGTTTGCGAGTCTTTGCAAAAAAAAAAAAAATGCTCTTCGTTGCAGGTTCCACGTTAACAGACTGGAGGAGGGGAAAAAAAACCATTTGAAGTTGCAAATTTTAACCTGCTTTTTTTTTTTAATTTCATTTTTAAGCGTGCTTTCAGTCACGTCTTTTTTATATTGTTTTCTTAATCTTGTTTGCAAACCACCTTTAGGTTAGGTGATAATGTAGAAATTCGATAAATAAAGCAATCCACCCCGGGTGGTAGCTATTTGTGGCTTAAAATAAAAGATAGCCTTATGTCAGTGTTTTGTAGCAGCAGAGGACCAGGTAAATAACTTTTTGCAACTTGTGTTCATTGCTTCTTAAGAAGTGCCTTTTTCCCCCCCTTCCTAAAATTGTGGTTTGACAAACTCAGTTCTCTCTCTCTCTCTCTCTCTCTCTCTCTCTCTCTCTCTCCCTCCCTCTCTCCCTCTCTCTCTCTCTCTCTCTCTCTCTCTCTGTCTCAAATAATCAGAAACAATCAGTTTTGATCTGTTAGTTTAATGAACCATGAAAGGAAAAACTAGCTGTACTAAAGGCTCTATATGTTGCCTTCTGGAAAGAAAGGAAGGAAGGAAAGAAAGAAAGAAAGAAAGAAAGAAAGAAAGAAAGAAAGAAAGGGGGGAAGGAAGGAGGGAAGGAAAGACGGAAGGAAGGAGAAAGAAAGAGAAAAGAAAGAAAGAAAGAAAGAGAAAGAAAGAATAAAAAAACAGAAAGAGAAAGAAAAGTGGGAAGGAAGAAGGGGAGGAAGGAAAGAAAAGAAAAGAAAGGAAGGAAGAAAGAAAGAATAGCAGAATAACAGAAAGAAAAGGAAGGAGGGAGGGAGGGAGGGAAGGAAGGAAGGAAGGAAGGAAGGAAGGAAGGAAGGAAGGAAGGAAGGAAGGAAGGAAGGAAGGAAGGAAGGAAGGTAGGTTTAGATAGAAATAATCGGATTGGATGAAGATGAATTTTCCAGTGCTCAGATTAAGTAGCTGTTGGCATCATCATATTTCATTCATTCCAGAAGGCTTATTGGTTGTTTCCTGATTCTTATCACTATTCAGACCTTCAAGGCAGAAAAAAAAAATTCCCTTGAAAATTTTCAGCCAAAAAGAAAGAAAAGTTGCTTTTGTTAAAAAAAACAACAACAAAAAAAACCAGCCAGCTAACTCCAGGCAAATCCATTTGCTCATTTTCCATCTGGGTTTTGAAGCGGCCAAACCAGATAGCATCTTCGGCTCAAAAAAAAAATAAAAATAAAATAAAATAAAATAAATTCCTCAGGCAGGGCAGATCCAGAATAAATATTGTACATTGTTTGAAACAGAACGGCGCCTGTTCCATAGCTCTCCAATCGGGTACAGTAAACAAAGCTAAATTCAAAAAAGGAGTTCTCGTAATTCAAATGCCAGCCCTTAGCAGGAACTGATCTTCTCCCGGATTATCTTGGCCTTTCTTACACGGCTGATATTATTTTTAGAATCTCGGTTTGTTAGGGAACGGTCTTATTTCGGGCCGGGAATTGGCTTTTCTTTGAAGACCGTGTCAAAGAATTGATTTTCTATCCGGAGAATATAGGATGAACGAAACGGCAAAGCACTGATCGTTGGGAGGGGTCTACCAAAGCCCCTTTGAAGCAGCTCCTTAGCATCCCTGCAGCTAAAAAGCCATTTTCATCCAGGTTGAATGGCGCTTCTGGGCCTACCTGTTGAATTGATTAGCTTGTCTGAATTTAGCTTGAGCAGGGGGTTGGACTAGAAGACCTCAAGGGTCCCTTCCAGCTTGGTTATTCTGTTATGAGCTTGTAGGAATTTAGCCCATCTGAATTGTGCTTGAGCAGGGGGTTGGACTAGAAGACCTCAAGGGGCCCTTCCAGATTGGTTATTCTGTTATCAGCTTGTTGAATTTCACCTGTCTGAATTTAGCCTGCTGAACTTAGCCTGCTGGGGAATTCTGGTAGTCCACCGCTCTTAAAAGTTGAGAATCACCGCTCTAGTCTAGGCAAATGTCATATAAAGCAGTTTTGTGGGGGGTTTTTTTGACATTCAGTATCAAGGGATTTTTCTATCTGGATTTTTGATGGATTTTTTTTTCTCTCCCCTCCCTTCTCTCTCTCTCTCTCTCTCTCTCTCTCTCTCTCTAGGCTGTTCAGTCTGACCTTGAAGAAACTCATCATGCTGAAAGAGATGGATAAGGATCTCAGCTCTGTGGTGATCGCTGTCAAGCTGCAGGTAGGTCACGCGGAGGAGCGAGGACGTGGCAACCACACCGTGGCCTCTCACAGCCACAAGAGTGACTTGCTCTGTGTCACTTACAGCAGTGGCCCAAATGGTGGAAACCTTTGGGGGGGAAGTGTATTTTTGAGGTTTGATGGCTAATAACACCCTCTCTTTTTTGGGGGGGAGCAGTACCATAGAATTAGATGTCAGTGGAAAGATAATTTAATCACGAACGTAATGCAACATAGCCAAATAACCAGAAAAAGGAAGCACAACTTGATTAGGTGGATCTCAGGTAGCTTTCCTCCATCTGATATGAGCCAATGAGTGCTTAGAGAGCCAATCAGGTGTCCTCTTGTTTTGGCCATGAGCCAATGAGCCAATCAGATCACAGTAGGATTCAGTTATTGATGTCCTGTATTGTGTGATCGTCATCAAGTTGGTTGGGGTTTTTTTTGTGTGTGTTCTTTTAGCGAGCTTGCAAAACATTAATAAAATTAAAGCCATGGTGCAAAAGAGTTGACTGGTCGCCCAGCAAGCGATGTAAAATAGTATTGTTTAGTGAAAAAAGGCTACAGTTATAAAGAAATTAGAAGAAAACTGGGTGGAAACTTAACCAAAGGTGGCATATCTACTGTACACTTTTCCCAAAAGATTTCCACAATTTTGGCTACAACTGTAAGACCCATCTTCTGCAAAGAGGGAAAGGGCAAATAGCAACAGCACTTAGACTTATATACCAGTTCGAATTATTTAGCGTGAAAACAGCATAGGAAAAATCCCCCTTTTTTCTCCCCCTGGACCTGCCACTGTCCATTTGTCCGCCAATCATCGGTCTACCTCGGACTTCCTCAGCCGATGACCTTAAGGGATCGGGTCTGTCTCAGGCTTCCAGGCACCCCAAATTTCCCTCCCAAACCTCCCTTACTTTCCCGTGCCTTCCCTCCCCGCAAGTTGTCTGCTTGCAAGCGGGGCTGAGTAGCGAGTCCGCCATGACGCTCCCCGCCATCCGCTCTTTGTGGGCTGAGATCCCAGCTCGGATCCCTCCGCCTCTCCCAGCAGTGGACCAACTGACCCATCCATGCCTCTTGCAGGGTTCAAAGCGGATCTTGAGGTCCAACGAGATCCTTCTGCCCGTCAGCGGACTCGTCGAAACGGAACTTCAGTTGACTTTCTCCTTACAGGTAAGGGTGCTTGAGCGGGATTCCGGCGTTTTGCAAAACACGGGGGGCCTAAAACGCACCAATCAAGAAGGACACGCATAGCTCAGGTGAAAGGAGGGCGCCCTGGTGCTCTCTGAGCTGGCTGGTTCCCTTGCAGACGTTTCATGACCCAACTAGGTAACATCATCAGTGCTAGAAGGGAGGAGGAGGACTGTGGGGTCCTTGGTGCTCTCTGAGCTGGGTGGTTTTCTTGCAGACGTTTCATGACCCAACTAGGTAACATCATCAGTGCTAGTAAGGATATGTGCAGCAAACTCCACTCTCTTCTTGCACTGATGAGGTTACCTAGTTGGGAAATGAAATGTGTGCAAGAAAACCACCCAGCTCAGAGAGCACGAAGGACTCCACGGTTTTCTTCTTCTTCCAGCATCCTCTGTTCTGTTCTCTTCTTTTCTTTTTTTTAATCTTTTCTTCCCCTGCCTTTCTTTCCCACAGTACCCTCACTTCCTGAAGCGGGACGCCAACAAATTGCAGATCATGCTACAGAGAAGGAAGCGGTACAAGAACCGGACTTTCCTCGGCTACAAAACCTTGGCTGTGGGCCTGATCAACATGGCTGAGGTAAGACCGAGGGGAAGGTCCAGAGGGCAAGTGACCACCGAGACTCTTTCTTTCTTTCTTTCTTTCTTTCTTTCTTTCTTTCTTTCTTTCTTTCTTTCTTTCTTTCTTTCTTTCTTTCTTTCTTTCCTTCCTTCCTTCCTTCCTTCCTTCCTTCCTTCCTTCCTTCCTTCCTTTGTCTGTCTCTGTCCCTCTCTCTCTCTCTCTCCCCCTCTCCTCTCTTTCTCTCTTCTCTCTCCCCCCTCTCCTTTCTCTCTCCTCTCTTTTCTCTCCACTCTCTTCTCTCTCCTCTCTCTTCTCTCTCCTCTCTCTTCTCTCTCCTCTCTTTTCTCTCCACTCTCTTCTCTCTCCTCTCTTTTCTCTCCACTCTCTTCTCTCTCCTCTCTTCTCTCTTCTCTTTTCTCTCTCTCTTCTCTCTCCCCCCTCTCTCCTCTCTCTCTCTTCTCTCTCCTCTCTCTTCTCTTTTCTCTCTCTCCCCCCCTCTCCTCTCTCTCCTATCATTTTGCTTGACATTTTTTGAGCTTTTGGGACCCTCTCACGGCAATTTGGCGTTCCGTTTCTCCTCGGCAGGTGATGCAGCATCCGAGCGAGGGGGCCCTGGTCCTGGGACTGCACAGCAACGTCAAAGACGTCTCCGTTCCGGTGGCCGAAATCAAAATCTACTCCCTGTCCAGCCAGCCCATTGACCACGAAGGACTCAAGTCGAAGTTATCAGGTGCGGGACGGTCCTCGGCTCGACAGCCGTTCATTCATTTAGCGACTGAAGCTGCAACGGCACCAAACGTCATGCCTTACGATCAGTCCTCACACTTACAACCGTCGCAGTGCCCCCCCGTGAGCGTGTGATCAAAATTCATGTATTGAGGAGAGCCACAAAAGACAGTTGCACCACTGCTGCTTGACAGCCTGTAGAGTTGCTTCTTCGTGGTTGCAGGAGACCAACCCCGACAGCGTCCGGCGTCCGCTCGGTTGCTGGGGCTTGTCAAAACCATCTTAATTTAATTCTTACAAACGTGGCTCTATTTAGCCTCTGGCTTGGGAAATCCTGTCTATTTTTCCCTGGACCCTTTTTGCAGATGACCACCTAGGCAGTGATGGAGTTGCTAAGGATACGGAGGCAAAAAAAATCTAGAGCCCGGGGCTGCATTTAATCCGATATTTGGGTTCATTTCCCAGCAGAGTGACAGAACGATCAGAGAGAAGGCAGGATCTGAGCTATGAAGTCCTCTGGGGTCCTTTCGGCGTTGAGGAGAGCGCAGACAGGGACGCTGAAGTATTAAAAAAAAAATAATCTGAAATGAAATCTGATTTGGCCTGGCTGCGTTCCTGAAGTCGCACACACACACCCCTCCCCATGGTCTCCTTTTGAGTTAGCATCCCGCCTGGGCCAAACCTGGACCGCCCTGTTTTGGGATGTAGAGTTGTGCTGATCATCCGGATTGCTTCCTAGATCGCTCCCCGGACATCGATAACTACTCAGAGGAAGAAGAGGAGAGCTTTTCGTCCGAACAAGAAGGCAGCGACGATCCATTGCACGGACAGGTAAGCCGGGCGTCCTTCTAGCCAGGAGAGAAACAATTTAGAACTTGAGAGGAATTTCCTCACCATTGAGAACCATCAATGGTGGAACGGCTGGCCTTCAGAAGCTGGCACTGTTCCAAGACTGGAGGTTTTTAAGAAGAGAGCGGACAACCATTGGTCTGAAATGGGATAGGGTCTCCTGGTCAAGCAGGGGATTGGTCCCTTCCAACTCTGTTATTATGCTATTCTTACTCTTTCTTTCTTTCTTTCTTTCTTTCTTTCTTTCTTTCTTTCTTTCTTTCTTTCTTTCTTTCCTTCCTTCCTTCCTCCCTCCCTCCCTCCCTCCCTCCTTTCTTTTTCTTTCTTTCTTTCTTTCCTTCCTCCCTCCCTCCCTCCCTCCCTCCCTCCCTCCTTTCTTTCTTTCTTTCTTTCTTCTTTTCCTTTCTTTCTTTCTTTCTTTCTTTCTTCTTTTTCTCTCTTTCTTTCTCTTTCTTTCTTTCTTTCTTTCTTTCTTTCTTTCTTTCTTTCTTTCTTTCTTTCTTTCTTCTTCCCCTCCCTCCCTTCTCCATCACTGGAAGTTTTCAAGAAGAGACTGGACAGCCATGTGGAATAGGGTCTCCTGCTTGAGCGGGGGGTTGGACTAGAAGACCTCCAAAGGCCCCTTCCAACTCTGTTATTCTGCTCAGCTCTTTCTGACTCGACCGGTTCCCTTCGGCAAACGCGGCTCGTCGCGGAATTGGTCCCGAGGGGCTCCTGCTGGGGGCAGCGTCCCAGAGTCACACGATTGCAAGCGAAGTCATTAGGAGGAGCCTGATTCGCTTAACGGCCGTGTGATCCCCTTCACGGCTGCAGCGATTTGCTGTGGCCAAAGAGGTCGCAAAACCAGAAGGGGTTCCCTTCCCAAACCGCCTTGCTTTAGCCATGAACATTCTAACCCCAGTTGTCATAACTGGAGGACGACCTGTAGACATCTCATCCTTTTTAGCGCTTGCCTCGTTTTAAGGAACTCTGGGACGGGATGTTACTTGAGTTCTGCAACGGCTTCTCCATCTTCCCCCCCCCCCCCCGATAGGATTTGTTCTACGAAGACGACGATCTTAGGAAGGTGAAGAAGGCCAGAAGGAAATTGACCTCAACTTCTGCAATTACTCGGGTGAGTGGTGTTGGGCGTGGTGTCCCACGTCCAACTTACATAGGTCCTTTTAATCATCAATAATCACGAGCTCTGGTGTCTCAAAGGTGCTTTTTCAAGAGGCAACTGGACTTTCTTGTTGTTACTTTGAAGAGCTTTCGCTTCTCCTCCAGGAAGCTTCTTCAGCTCTGACTGGATGGTGGGGAAGGGAAGGATTTATACTCCTTGCAGAAAACTGGTCATTTGAATCCTTTTTAGAGGATCGTTGAGGCCACCTGGAGGTTTGTCTGTGTCCTCAGAATCACCTGAATGGTGCAAATGGGTGTGGAACACAGTCCTTTCAGCAGTTCCAAGAAGGCTCCACACCCATCTGCACCACTCAGGTGACCCTGAGGACACAGACAAACCTCCAGGTGGCCTCAACGACTCTCTAAAAGGATGCAAATGACCAGCAGTCTGCAAGGAGTATAAATCCTTCTCATCCAGGAAGCTTCTTCAGCCCTGACTGGAGGGTGGGGAGTGGAAGGATTTATTGCAGACTGCTAGTCATTTGCCTTCCAGCTCTGTTCTGTTCTAGCAAAAATTCAGCTAGACAGGAATGCTACGTCCTATACAAATTATTACACTGGCTTTGGTGGATCCTCTGCTTCGCGCCTCACTCTTTGCAGAAAAAAGCATCGGCCGTGTGCATTGCAAAGCTTTGGCTTACCTTTGCCACTGGATTGACCCTTTTTCCTAACAAGCAAACCTTCCCTCTTTTTCACAGCAGCCAAATATTAAGCAGAAGTTTGTGGCTTTATTGAAGAGGTTCAAAGTCTCAGATGAGGTAAGCATGGCGATATTTATAGGGCGGCATTGCTGCAAGTGAACTCAGGATTCTAGAATCCGTACGAAACGCTGTTGTGTGCCTTTCGGTCCTGGGGGTGGGGAGGAAAAAAAAATGACAAGTTTAGTTCTTAATATCTCCTCATCCACTTGGGAAGGACTTCGCTCCCTCCTTCTCTCTTTCCCTTCCCCTCTTTCCCCCCTCCCTCCCTCTTTCTCCTTCCCTCCCTCTAATCTTCCCTCCCTCTTTCTCCTTCCTTCCTTCCCTCCCTCTAATCTTCCTTCCTTCCTTCCTTCCCTCCCTTTAATCTTCCCCCTCCCTCTTTCTCCTTCCTTCCTTCCCTCCCTCCCTCCCTCTAATTTTCCACCCTTCCTTTCTTCCTTCCTTCCTTCCCTCCCTCCCTCCCTCCCTCCAATCTTCCCTCCTTCCCTCCTTCCCTCCCTCTTTCTCCTTCTTTCCTCCCTCCATCCCTCTAATCTTCCTTCTTTCTTTCCTCTCCCTCTAATCTTCCTTCCTTCCCTCCCTCCCTCCCTCCCTCCCTCCCTCTAATCTTCCTTCCTTCCTTCCTTCCCTCCCTCTAATTTTCCTTCCTTCCTTCCTTTCTTCCCTCCCTCCCTCTAATCTTCCTTCCTTCCTTTCTTCCCTCCCTCCCTCTAATCTTCCTTCCTTCCCTCCATCTAATCTTCCTTCCTTCCCTCCCTCTAATCTTTCCCCCTCCCTCTTTCTCCTTCCTTCCTTCTTTCCTTCCCTCCCTCCCTCTAATCTTCTTCCTTCCTTCCTTCCTTCCTTCCTTCCTTCCTTCCTTCCTTCCTTCCTTCCTTCCTTCCTTCCTTCCTTCCTTCTTTCCCGCAATCATTTGCTTAATAACCACATCAAAAAAAAAGGAGAATTGGGTGCAACTCGCTCCACAATGGCCTCGCTTAGTATCGGAAATTCTGCTCCTTCCTAAGTCCAGGACCCCCCCCCCATCCCTCCCGGAACGAAGGCCTGGAAACGCTTCCTTGGCGAGCGAGGGCCCCCTTCCTGACTGCGAAGCGTCTTCTCCCCCAGGTTGGCTTTGGGTTAGAGCACGTTTCCCGGGAGCAGATCCGGGAGGTCGAGGAAGACCTGGATGAGCTTTACGACAGCCTGGAGATGTACAATCCCAGCGACAGCGGGCCTGAGATGGAGGACACGGAGAGCATCCTGAGCACCCCAAAACCGAAACTCAAGTAAGGGTGGGAAGGACAGCTGGTTAGATCACGGGGGGGGGGGGCGAAGGGAGGAAGCGTTTCATGAAATATTCCAGGAAATGAAGAGAATCCCACTCGGAGAGGAACTAACAGGATGCACACTAGAGCAGGGCGGAGGAATTCTGGGAGTTGAAGTCCACAAGTCATCAAAGGGCTAAGTTGGAAGACCCCCGTTCTAGAATTTCTAGGGAGATTTTTTTTTTAACCCTTCCAAACTTTTCCTTGGAAAAATCTCTTGAGATTGATGAGGATTTCATTTTCCCAGTGTGAAGTTTGGGGTCCAAATCTGGGTTCGCATGGAATAGGGGCAGGAATCTGAAGGACCCCGAAACCTTCCATTCCTGACCCAAGACCCTCACCCAGTACCCTTTCCCAGTTCACTTCTCCCTCCTCCCTTTTTAATACGTTTATAAACATTTATTCTTGTCCAGAAGCCCCTTTCAATTTTAGAGATATAGCCTTCAACACCGAACAAGTAAAATAAATATAAAACGGCTGGTAGAAAACCATAAATAGTTGGGAACCTCCCAAAGGCGCCCAGTGTATCAGCTGGGCAGCTATTATAAATTGATTTAATCCTAATAATGATCCCGCATTGTCGTTTTCCAGGCCTTTCTTTGAAGGAATGTCCCAGTCAAGCTCCCAGACGGAAATCGGAAGCCTCAATAGTAAAGGAAGTCTTGGTAAAGACGCCAGCAGTCCGGTAAGTCATAAGAAAAAAAAAATATTGCAGAAAAACAGCCCTCCAAGCTTTAGAAACGACAGTGAATTACAATTCCAGCAGGAGAACGAAATACATTTTCCTGTCCTGACAACACAGCACAGTATAAGATTATACAGGCACTCCTCAACTTACGACTATATTTACTGATGGTTCGAAGTTACGGCGACACTGGAAAAAGAGACTTATAATAGTAATAATAAAGTTGAAAGGGACCTTGGAGGTCATCTAGTTCAACCCCCTGCTCAGGCAGGAAACCCTATACCATTTCAGACAAATGGCTGTCCGGTCTCTTCTTGAAAACTTCCAGTGTTGGAGCATTCACTGCTTCTGGAGGCAAAGAGTTCCACTGGTTAATTGTTCTAACTGTCAGGAAGTTTCTCCTTAGTTCTGAGTTACTTCTCTCTTTGGTTAGTTTCCATCCGTTGCTTCTTGTCCTGCCTTCAAGCGCTTTGGAGAAGAGCTTGACTCCCTCTTCTCTGGGGCAGCCCCTGAGATACTGGAGGGCTGCTATCCTGTCCCCCCTCGTCCTTCTCTTCATTAAACTAGACATACCCAATTCCAGTAGCAACGGATGGAAACTAAGCAAGGAGAGAAGCAACCCGGAACTACGGAGAAACTTCCTGACAGTGAGAACAATTAACCAGTGGAACAACCTGCCTCCAGAAGAGGTGAATGCTGCAACACTGGAGGTTTTTAAGAAGAGACTGGACAGCCATGTGTCTGAAATGGGATAGGGTTTCCTGCCTGAGCAGGGGTTCAGACTAGATGACCCCCAAGGTCCCTTCCAACTTTATTATTATTATTAATTGCCCTTTTCTGGATATGTGGTTTGCTTGTATTTTCATACCATCCCCCTTTCCCCCCCCCTTCCACGGCCAATCCAGATCGAAGCCTCTTCTGGAGACAAACTCAAACCGAATCGGACCAAAACCGATGACAGCGTGAATGAAACAGACATGCAGGTGAGTGCTAGGATGTAGCAGATTCCCTTTTGTTGGGGGGGGGGGGAAGAGAAAAATCAGCCCTGAATGCGTCTTTTTCCCCGTTTCTCTAGGAGGGGAACGAGCAGGAGGCTTACGGGGACCTATCCACCACCTTGCTTATCCCAGAGAAAGTCAAGACGCCGATGAAAACCAGCAAGGGGGACCTTCAAAACATAGCCTCGCCTAGGTAAGGAAACACCAGATTGGATTCCTTTGCCAATTTTTAATCTGCGGCACGACAGGTTGTCCTCGGCTCTACCGCCAGCGTTGGGATGAAAATTTCCGTCGCTAAGCAGGGTAGCTAGAAAGTGAGTCATGCCCGGTTTTAAAGAGCTTTTTTGTCCTGGATTGCTAAGGGCTGCGGATAGGATGGGATGGGATGGAATGGAATAGAAGAAGAGAAGAGAAGAGAAGAGAATCTGGAAGGGACCTTGGTGATCTTTTAGTCCAGCCCCCTGCTCAAACAGGAGAACTTTCCTCCAATGGGATTTTCCCATGTATTTTATCTGGAAACATAGATAGGGCAGCCTAGAAAAGTCGGTGCCCTCCTAACCATACCCAAGCACTCCGAGTTTGTTGGCGATGTCCATTTTGCTCTGTGAGTTCCTGGTGAGCTAACCCTAACCCTAAGTGGAATTTTTGTCCAATGGGATTTTCCCATGTATTTTACCAGAAAACATAGATAGGGCAGGTTGGAAAAGTCTGTGTCCTCCTAACCATACCCAAGCACTACGAATTTGTTGGCGATCTCCATTTTGCTCTGTGAGTTCATGGTGACCTAACCCTAACCCTAAGTGGAATTTTTGTCCAATGGGATTTTCCCATGTATTTTACCTGGAAACATAGATAGGGCAGCCTAGAAAAGTCGGTGCCCTCCTAACCATACCCAAGCACTCCGAGTTTGTTGGCGATGTCCATTTTTCTCTGTGAGTTCATGGTGAGCTAACCCTAACCCTAAGTGGAATTTTCCTCCAATGGGATTTTCCCATGTATTTTACCAGAAAACATAGATAGGGCAGGCTGGAAAAGTCTGTGTCTTCCTAACCATACCCAAGCACTACGAATTTGTTGGCGATCTCCATTTTGCTCTGTGAGTTCATGGTGACCTAACCCTAACCCTAAGTGGAATTTTTGTCCAATGGGATTTTCCCATGTATTTTACCTGGAAACATAGATAGGGCAGCCTAGAAAAGTCTGTGCCCTCCTAACCATACCCAAGCACTCCGAGTTTGTTGGCGATGTCCATTTTTCTCTGTGAGTTCATGGTGAGCTAACCCTAACCCTAAGTGGAATTTTCCTCCAATGGGATTTTCCCATGTATTTTACCAGAAAACATAGATAGGGCAGGCTGGAAAAGTCTGTGTCTTCCTAACCATACCCAAGCACTACGAATTTGTTGGCGATCTCCATTTTGCTCTGTGAGTTCATGGTGACCTAACCCTAACCCTAAGTGGAATTTTTCTCCAATGGGATTTTCCCATGTATTTTACCTGGAAACATAGATAGGGCAGCCTAGAAAAGTCTGTGCCCTCCTAACCATACCCAAGCACTCCGAGTTTGTTGGCGATGTCCATTTTTCTCTGTGAGTTCATGGTGAGCTAACCCTAACCCTAAGTGGAATTTTCCTCCAATGGGATTTTCCCATGTATTTTACCAGAAAACATAGATAGGGCAGGCTGGAAAAGTCTGTGTCTTCCTAACCATACCCAAGCACTACGAATTTGTTGGCGATCTCCATTTTGCTCTGTGAGTTCATGGTGACCTAACCCTAACCCTAAGTGGAATTTTTGTCCAATGGGATTTTCCCATGTATTTTACCTGGAAACATAGATAGGGCAGCCTAGAAAAGTCTGTGCCCTCCTAACCATACCCAAGCACTCCGAGTTTGTTGGCAATGTCCATTTTGCTCTGTGAGTTCCTGGTGAGCTAACCCTAACCCTAAGTGGAATTTTCCTCCAATGGGATTTTCCCATGTATTTTACCAGAAAACATAGATAGGGCAGGCTGGAAAAGTCTGTGCCCTCCTAACCATACCCAAGCACTACGAATTTAATTACAGAATTAAATTTATTAATTACCATCTTTCTTGTCCCGGTGACAGCAAAATGGACAGCGCCGCGCACACCCCTCGTCAGAAACGCAGCACCCCGCTCAAGGAACGTCAGCTTTCCAAGCCACTGAGCGAAAGGACCAACAGTTCTGACAGTGAAAGGTCCCCAGACTTAGGTCACAGTACGCAGGTGAGTTACGACTACAATCTCCCTTGCTGTGGCTTAGTCCCCCTTTGGCGGATTTTGGGAGAAAGGATGATGGTGGTAGGAACAGAATTAACTTCCTCTTCTGAATTGTGGGATGTAATCTTCAGTTGGAGTATGAATGGGGAGGGGGAAATATGCTTCGCTGGGCTGAATACCCCTGGTTTCATCTTGGAATGACAAAATGTTCTTCGGGATCTGATCAGTGGCTGAGTTGAGTTGTCTTGAGTTGAGTTGAATTGGCTTAACTTGCCTTGCGTAGAGTTGACTGCTTGAGTTGAGTTAAGTTGCCTTTTCATTGTGTTGAGTTGAGTTGGCTTAACTTGCCTTGCGTTTAGTTGACTTGTTGAGTTGAGTTGCCTTGCCTTTCATTGTGTTGAGTTGAGTTCAGTTGAGTTGAATGGCTTAACTTGCATTGAGTTGAGTTGACGAGTTGAGTTGCCTTGCCTTTCATTGTGTTGAGTTGAGTTCAGTTGAGTTGAATGGCTTAACTTGCTTTGTGTTGAGTTGAGTTGACTAGTTGAGTTGAGTTGCCTTGCCTTTCATTGTGTTGAGTTGAGCTGAATGGCTTAACTTGCCTTGCATTGAGTTGAGTTGCCTTCAAAACCTGCTCGCTTGTCTCCACCAGATTCCTCGAAAGGTGGTTTACGACCAGTTGAATCAGATCCTCATATCGGATGCTGCGCTGCCCGAAAACGTGATCCTGGTGAATGCCGTGGACTGGCAAGGCCAGGTAAGCTGCTGGTTCTCCCTGTATCTCTTGACAACAACCCAGTTTCCAGCCAACAAATGTTGACCGTGGTTTGGCAAATTATTATTTCATGACGTTTGGGAAAACGCAGTTCTGCTTCTCAGATACAAAGACCTGGAAGTCTGTTGCTGTGTACAGGCCATGTGTGCAATCAGCCCAAAGCCACATCCCATCCTGGCCTGACTGCATCCTTGCTTTTATTTCTAGTACGTCGCCGATCTCCTGCAGGATCAGAAGAAGCCCGTGGTTTGTACCTGCTCCACGGTGGAAGTGCAAGCTGTCCTCTCTGCGCTCCTCACCAGAATCCAGAGATAGTGAGTTCACAACAGCCCTTTCGATCATTTGCTAAACCGACCTCTGTAATTTGAGGACTCCCCGAGTTTTGTTTTGATGCCAGGTTTGCAGATCCACTAGGATGCTGCCATATGTTGTATATAGTATGTTTAGGTGTGTGTCATGTATGTGTTTCACTTTGAGAGCGGGCAACTAAATTTCCTTTTTGATGTGTGTTGTTGTGCCCACAGTAGAAAAAATGACAATGAAGGTTATCTTATCTTATCTTATCTTACCTTACCTTATCATCTTTTCTTATCTTATCTATCTTTTATCTTATGCCTTATCTTATCTTATATTTTATCTTAAATCTTATCTTATCTTATCTCTTATATTTATCTTATATCTTTTATCTTATGTCTTATTTTATATCTTATCTTATATTTTAAATTTTATCTTACCTTATCTTATCTCTTATATCTATCTTATATCTTTTATCTTATGTCTTATTTTATATCTTTTATCTTATCTTATATCTTATCTCTTACCTTACCTTACCTTATCTATCAACCTTGAGATTTGGATACCTTCTTCCAGCTCTGGAGCGCCCTCTAGTGGCCATTCCTCATAAACTCCACCGTCGCCCGCTTAAGACACCCACCTGGAAGCTTTGACGGAATCTGTTTTCCAGATCATTATTTAGCTGCCTTGAATAAGTGAAAGAAGGAAAAGAACCCGGAGGTGGCTTACGGGGCGCCAGGGACCCCCAGCTTCTCCCATTTCAAATTGGGGGGGGGGGTTCCTGCCTCTCCATTGTGACTCTAAAAATGCAAAAAAGAGCACCGCGTCTCTCAAAGTGGCAGGCACACTGATGCAGTCCCTTGCACAGACCCGTCACGTTGGGTTCCCCCCCCTACAGGAGGGTCTTTAAATCAAGAGTCTGCCAGCTCTTGTTAAGCTCCCCAGAAGCCAAGCCAGGCACCCAGTCTCGTCACACACACACACACACACACACACACACACTTTTTTTCCCTTTCTCTCTCTCTCTCTCTGTCCAGTTGCAATTGTAATTCCTCCATGCCCCGTCCAGTGAAGGTGGTATCGGTCGGAGGCCAAAGCTATCTCAGCGCCATTTTGAGGTTTTTCGTGAAGCAGCTGGCAAACAAGACGTCGGATTGGCTGAACCACATGAGGTTCCTCATCATCCCTCTAGGTACTAACAGAATCACGGCCGGCGGCTGCTCAGATCAGGGTTGGAGATCAGGGTGATGACAAAAAGATTCGATCTGGGATCTTGGATCTGTTGCTTATCCCCAAATAAGTACCGTCAACAAGAGGAGACGGTTCCATCAGCCCCAACTTGGAAAATTTCCCCGATTTTTCTCCGATTGCAGGTAGTCCTCATTTAGTGACCACAGCTTGGCCGTTAAGCAAAGCAGTTGCACTTACAATCCGAGTCGCGGTTTCCTTTGCTTTACCGACCCGCGAAGGTTATCAAATGCAAGGGTCAGTGGCCAAGATGACTTTTTCATCCCCTGCCGTAACGGCGAATCGTTGCCAAACCAGGTGGTCGCTAAACGAGGACTGAATGCCAAATGGGCATTCTGCTTCAGCTCTCCACTTCCATCAAGAAATATATTTTTTTTTTCGATCAAGAAACACTCTTGCGATTTTCGTTTTTTCTCCGTCTCTGCCCACCCTTTGGTTGATAAACCTCCTTGCGTTTCTCCACCAGGATCTCACCCGGTCGCTAAATACATGGGCTCCGTGGACAGCAGATACAGCAATATGTTTTTAGACACCTCTTGGCGTGATCTCTTCAGCAAACCTGAACCACCTGCAATAGGTAAGAAGATGCTCTAATGAGCTTCTCTTGGCCGAAATCTCTTTTTCGTCCCTTTCGCTCCAGTCTCACCCCACTTGGATTCTTGTTCCGGGAACATCTGAGTCAAATTCAGCGTAGGAGGCCCCAAAATGATTTGGTTGCCTCCCTGAGTCCAGGCTGAGTTGCCTCTTATTCTTCTGGGGTTCCCCCCCCCTTCCTGGAGAATCCCTCCCCTCGCTACATCCCATCCCATCAACCTTTGCAGGAACCTGGGAGGCTCCAGGTTTCCTCTTCCATCAGCCTGACCCCGATCTTTTTCCCCAGACCCCCTGGATGTGGTGGGCCGGATCACCCAGTACGTGAACGGAGCCAACGTCACTCACCAGCTGCCTGTGGCAGAGGCCATGTTGACCTGCAAACACAAATTGTAAGTTCCCGATCAAAGCTTCAGGACGGTTCTGGCGAGAGGCTGGTTTCAAGAAGGGGAATAAATAAAAAAAGGGGAGCAAAGGTATCCGGTGTGATGAACCAGGACCGGTTTGCCAAGTCGGTCAATCAGATCATGACACGCTTTTGAACCGGCAGCTCTTTGCGATTGCTTCTCGCTGCAACTCCTGGAAACTTAAGAGGAGGGTGGTCTCCTAGACCAGGGGTCTTCCAACTTGGCCCTTTTATGACTTGTGGACTTCAACTCCCAGAATTCCTCAGCCAGGCACGCCTTTCCTTTCCTTGCCTTTCCTTTCCTTTCCTTCTTCTATCTTCCTTTCCTTTCCTTCATCTATCTTCCTTCTCTTCCCTTCCCTTTCCTTCTTCTATCTTTCTTTCCTTTCCTTCATCTCTCTTTCTTCCCTTCCCTTCCCTTCGTCTATCTTCCTTTCCTTTCCTTCTATCTTTCTTTCCTTTCCTTCATCTATCTTCCTTTCCTTCTTCTATCTTTCTTTCCTTTTCTTCATCTATCTTCCTTCCCTTCCCTTATTCTATCTTCCTTTCCTTTCCTTTTCCTTCCTTTCCTTCGTCTATCTTCCTTTCCTTTCCTGTTTTCAGGGGGAGCGTAAAAGGCAAAGCACTACAAGCGCAAGGGAAGATATAAAAATGGATAGCAAGAGATCGCCATCCTCCAATTTAAGAAATACTATATATCCTTGAATGGCCAACATATCTCAAATAATAATAGTGTATGGTTGAAAAACGTCAAGTAGGGCAGAGGCCTCCAATCTTTGGGACACCAGGGACTGGTTCCGTAGACAGAGGTTTTTCCACGGACCGGAGAGTGCATGGTTTTGTGTGCTGCCTGCATCCCGCGGACGGGGCTTTGCTTGCTTGTGCAGACAGGTTGCTGGCATGCTATCGGTCCACGGACGGGGGGGGGGGTTGGGGACCCCTAAAACAGGGGAAGAGATGAGAAGCAACATCAACATCATGTCTTTTTCCTCCGTTTGCAGCCAAGATGAAGATTCCTATCAGAAGTTCATCCCTTTCATCGGGGTAAGGAAATCTTACGATCCTGGGCTGCAGGAAGTCCTCAGTTTATGACCAAAATTGAGTTCCAAATGTTCCATTGCTGAGTGATTCAGCCGGCTTTTGGGCCTTAGGCGGGACTAGAACTCACCGTCTCCTAGTGATTGGCCCAAGGTCACCCATCCGTCTTTCAGGCCTTAGGCGGGACTAGAACTCCCCGTCTCCCGCCAGCTTCACCACTTATTCATTGTTATTTATAGTTATTGATTGATGAACACATAAAGCATGTGAGTCCAGCCAAGGTCAGGTAGCTCTTTCCGAACGCCCCAGCCGCAGTCAATGCCGTAAGAATAATAACCAAAGAGCTATATATAATTACAAAAAAAAATAAAAATAAAATTGATCTAACATTTCTGGCGCTGAGGGCTCTGCAGCCCTCAAGTCCCAGAAGCTTTGTAATAATTTTTAATTTTAATAAGTCCATAAGAATAGGGGCTGTCCCGGATACCCCCCCTCCCCAACGTGCACTTTTCTCAAGCTTGTAGTTTGCATAGGGGAGCAGAAGATTGGAGTAATAAAAGAGAACCGCACTAAATTGTCTGTCTGAGCAATGGAGGACCAGGCTAATAGCTGCAGAAGACCAGCGTTCCTTCCTTCCTTCCTCTCTCCCTTCCTCCCATCCATCCATCCATAATACCCCAATTGTATAGATGGGTTTTTTGTTTTTCGTTTTTGTACAAGTGTCCTCCCTTAGGGAGGTTTTGCTCCCACCAGCAAGCCCATCACCGGTTGAGTTTTGCTTTGGGAAGGATTCACAACCTCTGCTTTCTCTCTTCCTCTTCCAGGTGGTTAAGGTGGGACTTATTGAAGATTCCCCCGCAGCAGCAGGTATTTTATTTAAATCTTATCTTCTCTTCTCTCCCTCCTCTCCTCTCCCCCTCTCCCCCCACCTCTACCCTCTCCATTCTATTCTATTCTATTCTTTCTGTTCTTATTTTTCAATTCTATTCTTATTTCTCTATTCTTTCTGTTCTTATTCTATTCTATTCTATTCTATTCTATTTTTTCTGTTCTTATTTCTCTATTCTATTCTATTCTTTCTTTATTCTGTTCTTACTTCTATATTCTGTTCTCATTTATATATTCTATTCTTTCTGTTCTTATTTCTCTATTCTATTCTATTCTATTCTATTCTATTCTATTCTATTCTATTCTATTCTATTCTATTCTATTCTATTCTATTCTATACTAATTCCTATTCTAATTCCTATTCTATTCTATTCCATTCCATTCCATTTCTCTGTTCTCTATTCTTTTATTACTTTTAGTTTTTGTCCTACCTTTATTATTTTTATAAAACTGGCCTCACCCAAGCACCCCTTGTATCCAAACTTCCTTGGCTTCACCAATCTCCATTTTCTTGTGACGACGTCCATTGTTTCCTAGAAAACAGCCGGCCCCGTCTTGCTAATGGGGGAAACGTGACACCTTTATAACATTTTATGCTTTCTGGAATATAAAGACGGCTCATGCTAGCTGGGGAATTCTGGGAATTGAAGCCCACACCCCTTCCAAGCTGACAGGCCTGAGAAAGACCGATGGGGCAGATAGCAGGGAATTCTGTCCCTCCTCCCCCCCCCCAGCCTCCCTGGGACAGAATCTTCATCCCTTCCTTCCTTCCTCTGCAGGTGAGGGGGACGATTCGCCCGTCATCAGCCTGACCGTCCCCTCCACCTCTCCGCCTTCAACCTCGGGCCTAACCAAGGACGTCTGTGCCACCCCCCCGTCCTCCCCCTCAATGACCAGCGGCTTGGCTGTGGTGGGGTAAGTAGGGAGACACAAAAGGTTTTTGGCGCGGTGGTGTTCTTTTCTCCGGGATCTTTGTGAAAGACATTTTCCCCCCTCCCCAAAGCTGCAGAGCAGGGATCAACCTTCCTGTACTGCCCCATAGATCTCCCAATAGTCTAGGGTGGATATTAAAACAACCCCCTCACTCAGGGGGTCCCCTGCCCCCTGGACCGTGGACTGGCGGGCAAAACCCGACCAGACAGGCTTAGTTCTACTTTATTGTAAGGCTACCTTGAGCGAAACTCAACACCTCTGAACGGACCAATCTCCCGCTGTCTCTTTTCCAGCCTGAGAAGTTACGGCGGTTCCTTTGTGAATCTCTTTCTCTGCCCGTTATACAGCTGTGGGCTAGGCTCCCTCTTATCCGATCCTTCCCTAGGCAGCATCCTATCCCCCCACCTCCCAAGGTCAGTGCCACACCCGGGAAGCGCTTGGCGAACCGCTTCCTGTTCCCGGCAGGAAGTCACTCTCTCAAGTTGCTAACTCCCACGCTTGGCCTTCCTTGGGGCTTCTGGAGGTTTCCATCCCACCCCACCCCACTGCCCGCCCGGCTTGAGGCTTCCTTCTCCATTTCTCTTCCGCTTGTGGGCTTGCTGTTGGGTGTTTTTTTTTTCCGGGATGGTTAGGGGGGCTCCTGGCCGTGCCGGATCGACTCACTGGCCCCGCTCTTTCTTCCTTCCTTCCTTCTTTTTCCTTCTTCTGGATCCCAGGTCTCCCAGCAGCCCTTACAGCGATGTGATTGGCCTGCAGGTGGATTACTGGCTGGCTCAGGCCACGGAGAAGAGGAAGGACGGGGAGAAGAAGGACAGCAGCTCCAAAAACACCCTGAAGAGCGTCTTCCGCTCGGTCCAGGTCTCGCGGCTGCCCAACAGCGGGGAGACCCAGCCCTCGGGGACCATGGCCATGACGGTGGTAACCAAGGAGAAGAATAAGAAGGGTAGGGGACGGCGAAGGGAAGCTCCCTCCCCGCCGGGAGTAGCGGGACGGAGAGATCGGGCGGGATCTCCCCAGCTGCAGCTGCTTAGTCCCCCTGGAGAACTAGCCCCCTGCGGCGCTTGGTCCAAAGGAACCGTCTCCTGCGTTGCTTTCCAGCAGGACTGAGTTGTCCCCAACTGGGGGGGTCTTCTCTTTCTCCTTCTAGTGCCCACCATTTTCCTGAGCAAGAAACCCAAAGAGAGGGAGGTCGATTCCAAGAGTCAAATGATTGACGGCATCAGCCGGCTCATCTGCTCGGCCAAACAGCAGCAGACCATGTTAAAAGGTAAGGCCTGGGGTTGGGGGGGGGGCTTTTCACGGGGGGGGGGGAAGAGTGGGACTCGTGACAGTCCCCTGGAGAAGGACTTCCGGGGAGAGGAGACCCCGAGCAGAGCAAGGAGCACTTAAGGTAGTGAACGTACCTCCTCATCCTCCAAGTGATTAGTCTAAAGTCAACCAGCCAGCTTTCCCGTCTAGGGCGGGACTAGAACTCACCATCTCCTGGTGATTGGTCCAAAGTCACCCAGCTGGCTTTCCTATCTAAGGCGGGACTGGAACTCACCGTCTCCTGGTGATTGGCCCAAAGTTGGCCAGCCAGATTTCATGGCTAAGGTGGGACTAGAACTCACCATCTCCTGGTGATTGGTCCAAAGTCACCCAGGGCTTTCCTACCTAAGGCGGGGAACTCACCGTCTCCTGGTGATTGGCCCAAAGTTGGCCAGCCAGATTTCATGGCTAAGGTGGGACTAGAACTCACCATCTCCTGGTGATTGGTCCAAAGTCACCCAGCCGGCTTTCCTATCTAAGGCGGGACTAGAACTCACTGTCTCCTGGTGATTGGCCCAAAGTCGGCTTTCATGCCTAGGGCGAGACTAGAACTCCCCCCCCCCGACAAAACTGGTCCTCTCCATATGAGTTCAGTTCCAGAGAGGTCTGCTGACCAATCCCCCCCTCCTTTTCCTAGTTTCCATCGATGGTGTGGAATGGAGCGACATCAAGTTCTTTCAGCTGGCCGCCCAGTGGCCCACCCACGTCAAGCACTTCCCCGTGGGACTTTTTGGCACCAAGCCAGCCTGAAGAAAGAAAGAAAAAAAAAAAAGAGGGGCGGCCAGACGCTTTCCCGTGCCCTCCCAGCCCCGCCGTGGCATGGTGGCACCCCCTTCCATCCGAAGCATCCGCCAGCCGAGAGCTGCGCTGCGCTCAACTTCACCCGTGTCGCGTTCCTGTGTCTTGATCGGGCTTTGCTGGAGAGGGGAGGGTGGGAGGGAGGGTTAGGGAGGGGGTCCAAACCCCCCAATAGAGGGAGGGGGGTTTCATCCAGCCAAGGACCTGGCCCCCTTGACTGCTTTCACGACGCATACCGCCACATCGTGCCGTGGGTCTCCAGCCTCTCATCCGTGCCAGTCGAGAACCGATTCTTCTGATCACTCCAGGTCTCCCGGCCAGCCCCATCGGACCGGGATGTCCCCCCCCCACCCGCTTCTTCCTTGAGCTGGCTTGGCACCGGCACAGTGCCAGAGTCTTCCGAAAGAGCCTGTCAGCCAACTCGCAGTCCGTGGAAATCTGCTTGTCCCAGTCTCCGGCTGAGCCATTCGACAATCCGGAGGTGCTTTGCAAATTTGCGTCTCGTCGTTCTGGCTTTTCTAGAAGCACAACGTGGCGAAGCTGCCCGGGGGCTGCTTCAAGCCCGGCTGTTAGCAGGGGACACCCTTCTCTGTCACTCCACCAGGTCACGGGGAACAGGAGGAAAATTCCCTCTTGTGTGAACCCTCCTCTTCCTGGACTAGCTCCGCACGTCCAACCCTCCTCATCGTTGTAACTTTACTCTTCAACCACGGAAAGTGGTGGCGATGATCAGCCTCCCCATGGAAGGTGGGACGAGAAGGATTCTTCCGCTATTTGGCTCAGCCTGCTAGCCCACCATCTCTTAAGAGTGTCCCCAGGGCATCCCATAATACAAAGTGCAAAGGCCCCCAAACCCAACCTAACGTCTTCTCCTGCACTGTTGTAAACGTGGTCTCGCTGGGAAAGCCATCCCAGCATCTGCACTCGTTCCCGTTTTTTTTTTCAACAAAAGAAAACATCAATTGAGAATTATTATTTTTTTCCCCCAATGAAAGAAACACCATCAATTGAGGATTTGCAAAAACAAAACAAAACCCCAAACAAACTCCGGGCAGGATTCACGCGGTCCCGAAGCCTGCTGGATTTCCTTCGTTTGAAGTCCTTGATTTTGGAAAGGAGAAGAACGGATTTTCGAAGCGAGAATGTGGCACACCAGCCCCGCAAATTAAAAATAAGAGATCACTCAACAAACTTTAAAAGCAGAGCTCCTTCTCTGGGGTAAACCTGAACCGATCCGGTGGGACGTCTTCATGACCTCGATCGGAAAAAGGAGAAGCTGGAATTCCAGGGGATAAACAGATGCTATCTTAACTCCCCCCTCCTTTTCCCCCTCTTTTGGCAAGCTCAGACCTCTTCATCCCAGTTTAATCAGCAATAAAACAAATTGTTCCTCTTTAGGGGGAGCGCTTCAACCCCCCCATACCAGGTGGGCTTTGCCCCAAAACGGAGGGTGCAGTTTGTTGTCCATCTTTCCCACCTTCCCCTTATTTTTTGTTCCTGCCCTTACGAGACAATCCCCGAGTTCAGTTTCGGATTAAAAGGAAAAATAATTGAGAATAAAAGGCAACCAGCCACAAGACTTTTAAGTCCAGTTAGCAAGATCCCCTTTCAATCTTGAAGGGGTCAGCCAGCTCAGAGAGGATCTCATTTTTCTGGTTTAAGTCTTATAGCTCTGAATTATTTTTTTTTTTTTCTCTCCCTGATTTTGGCTCCTTGAGTGGAGAGTTTTCACACCTGTCTCCCCCAACATCCCTGCAGTGTGGACTTTCAGTTCCAAGAGGGTGATGCCCCCGTGCCACCCAAGGGACAGTGACAACCCCTCCGTCCAGAGCGGAGGACGTAATAATTAAGCACAATTCTGAATATTCCTGCCGTTCCAGAGAAAAACCGGGGTGACTCACTGCTTCCTTTCGGAAAGAGAAGCCTACCCCCTTGCCAAAAGCTGCCCGTCTCTGAGGGCCTCCAAAGCAGGCACCAGAGAGGTCATCAAGTCTGACCCCTCGCCTGATCCAAAATATCCCAGGGTTTGGGAGTGTGGGAAGAAGACCCTGATGGAGTCCAAAGACCCATGCTCCTGAGCCATGGATCACCCCCAAGCTGGATCCTCAAGACCATCTGAACATGAGAAAGGTGGAGATCTCCTGCTGTGCTCTGGAACGCAGGTCACGGGTGGGATCTGGTTCTACAGGTGAGCACGACGGAGCTCCAGGCCTCTTTTTTCTTTTTCTGCAAAAGAAGCTCAAAAAAAATTGGGGACCCTCCCCGAAAAGACCCCTGTTTTTGGGGTGCGGCTAGCTCCTGGTTGCCCACCACGAAAATGTTCCCCCCTTTGCTTCCTCGCCGCCACGCCAAGCCCCCCCCCCCAGTCTTGACTGTTACAGTGACTCCATGGAAGAACCCGTGGGTGTGTTTCTCATATACGCTGTGTAGAATTTGCACATCCTTGATTTGATGGTCGGAATTTTTCCACGTGGTCTGTTATCTTGGCTACTGTACATAAACATGAGTTTTTGTATATAATTTTTCTTTCTTTTTTTCTTCTTTTTGTAACTGCTGGTTCTCCCCCTTCGTTTGGAATGCAAGCCTCAAGAATCTTCCTCCCCATCGCCCCAGTTCCCCCCCTCCGAACGATCCATATTCAGATTTTTCCGGGTTCGTATGAGTTTTATGCATTTTATTCTTTGCGGTTCACGTCGTCTCTTAACCACTTCCTCGTGAGTTTTTTTTTCCTTTTTTTCATTAAATAAATTGTGTTTTTAAAAAAAAAAAAAAAAAAACTCATCTCCAGTTGGATTCCTTTCTTAAAAGTGCTTCAAACACTGATTGATTGGATTGATTTGAGTTGGGCTTTTTGGACTGAGATGGGGGTTGCGATTTATTGGACTGGTTGATTGACATGGGATTGATTGATTGGATAGAGGTGGGTTGGGATTGAATTGATCAATTGTGGGTTGGGATTGATGGATTGATTGACATGGGCTGTTATTGATTGATTGGATAGAGGTGGCTTGTGATGGATTGAATAGATCAATTGTGGGTCGTGATTGAGGTGGGTTGTGATTGATGGATTGATTGATTGACATGGGCTGTTATTGATTGATTGGATAGAGGTGGGTTGTGATGGATTGAATAGATCAATTGTGGCTCGTGATTAATTTGATTGAGGTGGGTTGTGATTGATGGATGGATTGATTGAGGTCGGTTGTGAACGATCCAGAAAGGAGGAAGAATGCAAGAAAAACTCAGTTGAGATATAATCATCATCATCATCAGGGCACTGGGAACTATGTCCAAAAACTTTGCAAAATACATCAAGAAACTGCAGCTTCCTGCAATAACTCCAGCAATGTTACAAAAAACTGCTACTCAGAACATCTTACATTTTAAGGAGATACCTGGTTGACACCTAGGATGCTGGTAGCACCAGCCAATTTGAATGTTCAGTTGACTGAGGTTCATGTCTAATGAATAAAAGATAATAATAATAATGGCTTAGCTGGAAACCTGTCCCTTTCCCCTCAGTGTTGCTGGCTCAGGAATTCTGGGAGTTGAAGTCCACGAGTCATAAAAGAGCCAAGGTTGCCTACCCCTGGCCTAATGGATCCATAGGGACATTGACTCCCTGAACTAGCCAAGCAATAAAAACGAATTAAAATTAAATCAGACCTTAGAAGAGTGGGAGAGGTTGGGGAAAGATTTGGGGGGAAAAAAAACCCAACCTCCCCTCACCCACCCTCCAGGTGCAAATCAGGCACTTTTATTTTTTTTTGACCGCGAGCACTCTCCTTTTCCTAATTAAAGCCAAGATTCTAGTCCTCATCGGGCCCCTCGCCTTCTCCGACGTGGCGATCTCGCCCCCATATTTCCCCAGGGAATACCCAACGGGGAACAAGGTACAATTGGGGGGTGGGTGGCCCCTTCTGCAGCAACCCCCCCTCCCATTTTTATTCATTTATTTATTTTTGCCCAATTTGAGCATCTCTTCCCCTTTAAGAAGCGGCGCGGGCGGGGCGGGAGTGAAGAGCCGAGGAGGCGGAGCCAAGGCTGCGGGGTTATTTGTCCTCCGACGCGCTTTTTTTCCCTCCTCTTCCCGCCTCCCCTTTAAAGAGGTTGTTTGGGGGCGGGGCCGCGCCGCTCGCCGGTGCCGCAAGGCCTGCCGGGAAGGAAGGAAGGCAGGCAGGCCGCCGGCTGGAGGGAGCGGCGGCGGTTGGGAGCCGCACCGGTCGAGCCAGGGCTGCGCGCGCAGGTAGGAGGGCGAGGCGGGGGGGGTCTCTTTCTCCCTCTCCCCCCCACCCCTCTCTCTCCCCCCCATACTGAGAAAGGGCTTCTCTTGCCCCCCCATCAGGCTGAACCCCCCCCACTTAAAAGAGGGGGGGTCTTCCTTTGGGGTGGGGGGTGGGTGAGTGTCCCAAAAGGGGTGGGGGGCTTAGGTGGGAGGGTGAAAGACCCCTCCCCAGCCCCCTCACTCTCCCCAAGGGAAGTGGGGCTCAGGAAGGGGGTGGAGGCAGCCCCCTCCCCAATTGGAGGGGGGTGCTTGGCAAGGGTATCTCCCCCTTCAGAGAAGCCCAGATAAGGGGGGGGGTAGGTAGCTCTTGACAGCCCCCCCTTCTTAGCCCCTCTCCTGTGGGGCAGAGGATGGGGGGGCTCCACCATCCAGGGTCACCTGGAATGGGAGGGGCGAGAGGGGTAAGGGAGGGAGACCAGCCCCCCAAAAGCCCAGCTAGTTAGTTCCAAGATGTGGATAAAATGGGGAGGGGAGAGACCCTGACTCAAAGAAAATGACAAGGAATTTCACCCCCCCACACATACCGATGAAGCTGGGTGGGGAGGGGGAGTCTTCCCAGAAAGGAATGGGGTCCTGGGGGATTTTCTTGGGCGGGTCTTAAATCCCTGAAAGTGAGCCTAGAGGTCACCTAGTCCTTCAGCCGAAAGCCTGGGAAACTCAGGGTCCTATGTCTTGAAAAAGGGGGCAGCCTTAGTCCTGGAGGGGTGATCCCACCCCCCAAAAAGGGGAAGCTACCCAGATGTAACCCCCAAATGCAAAGGGCCTCTATCCATCCATCTATCTATCTATCTATCTATCTATCTATCTATCTATCTATCTATCTATCTATCTATCTATCTATCTCTGCATATCTCTATATCTATCTTTATCTCTATATATCTATAGCTTTATCTCTATATCTATTTATTCTGTTTATCCATCTATCTATATCTGTTTGTCCTATCTATCTATCTTATCTATCTATCTCCTTATCTCTTATCTCTATATAACTCTATCTCTATAACTATCTATCTATACCTCTATCTATCTCTCTATATCTTTGTCTATCTATCCATCCATCCATCCTTTTACAATTTTAGCAATGCTTTGAGGGTCAAGCAAGGCCTATACAATATATATTACAATAGGAGGACTTTATCGCTTTATCTTTATCTTTTCCTCGGGTCCCACTCCCCCCCCCAAAAAAAATTCCTTTCCCTACAACTAAACAAGCCGGGGTTTGCTCCACAAACTCAGTTTCCTGACTTTGCACAGCATGCTTTCCATCTCGGCTGCATTTGTCCCACATGTAGCCTGCTTTGGGGGGGGGGTGAATTGGCGGAGGGGGCCACTGAGCGTAAGAAAAAGCAAAGGGGATGGAGGCAAAAAGCAAAGATTGCCCCCCCCCAAATAAAATAGGAGTTTTATGAGGCCCTGGGCAAAGGTTGCACAAATCTTCCCCTCCGGATCTGATAGATTGTGGAAAGGGATAAAAGTAGATTCAGAGTCCTTTCTTCCCGTGCCGAATTAAAATTAGGAACTTCGGGCTCTCCGTGGGCCCATCGTCCCCAGCCACCGGCCCTGCGGCAAAGCCTTATGGGAACTGAGATCCCCAACACCAACAGAGGGAGCTTGCTTTAACTTTTGCTATTAAAAAAACACCAGGAAAGCTGTTAAAAAGAGGAAGAAGCTAATAATAATAATTTTTTAAAAAAAGGAACATTTCCCCTCCCACCCCTTGGAAAAAAATCTTACAAATTTTAAGCTGAATCACCCATGAAGCTGATTTTTATTTTCCTAGATATTCTGGGATGATAAATATCTCCCTTGCCCCGCTGATTAGATTTTTCGGTGGGTGTGTTTCCAATTACTTTCTGCCAAAGAGCTGGAAAATGCACAAATCAAACCAAGTGCCATCTGGGTTCATTAGGCCCTCTCAACCGGTCGGATTAATTCTGGTTTATTGACCAAAAGGACCACACCTGGATTAACATTGCCTCCACCCGCGTGACATGATGGTGTGGCCTATTTTTGGAAATTCTCGGCTGTTGCATTTGAGGATCACTTTGCTTCTTCCTCCTTCCTGCAAGCTTTGTCAGAAAGAAAAACAAAAACAAAACTCGATTTTCCTGATGATGACAGGCAGTCATCCAGCCGGTGGAGCGAAATGAAATTTCTCGGGCAGAAAAACAGCCGGCCAAAGAAATCCCATTCCTTTTAACCTTGCAGGTGAAAGACAAACTCGGCGAATCTTTTTTTTTTTTTTTTTTAACTTGGAAGTTGGGCTCCCAACAATCCTCCCTGCAGAGTTTGGGGAGGGGGTGGGTGGGGAAAAAACACGGAGGGTCTCCTTTTCCAGCTGTTGCATTTTTATTTTCATTTTTTTTTAGATTTTGCCCCCAAAAAAAGAAAAATGAAAAAGGGAAGCCCGGGGGGGGGGCGGGGGGAAAGATGCTACGTGAAGCACAGTTTGATTTAGTTGGCTGCTCCTTGCAAGGCTGTTCAAATTTTGGGGAAGAGGCTTGGAGAAATGAGAGTCTTTGCAGAAAGGACATGAGATGCTGGAGGGGGGGGGGGAGGTGAAGAAGAGTTGGCCAAAAGGACTCACTCAACGCCGCATTGCGTCGGTAATGTCCGGGACTGGAATCGGCCCCCTCCTGGACACACCAAGAATTGCATTAAAAGCTGGACAGGAGAGGGGGAAAAAGGGGGGGGTTGGGGGGCACATGAGAAGCAACATTCCCGGCCAGTCCTAGCCGTAATTCCAGATAAAGCTGGAGGTGGGGGGAGGGAGACAGGTGGAGAATTATCCCCTTCCTAGGTTGTGATCTAAAAGTAGCCCAGACTATAGAGATCGGGACTCGGCTTGGAATCAAGGATTGACCCGGGTCGTGGCTGGGTTATGGGAACCGGGAGCAGTTGGGTTTGCTGGCAAAGCAGGCTGCTTGCTTTTGAGGGCGGGAGCTTGGGACGGCGTGTCCGTGACGGATTTGGATTATCCTTTCTGACTGGCAGGGGGAAAGATGAGAAATTAAAATTCACGGCTGTTTGGGAATTAAAGTTATGGACACTTTGTGAATTAAAAGGAGGGACTGTTTGTGGATTAAAATCACGGCTGTTTGTGGAGCTTGCCGGATCCGAAACGGTCCTCGGGTTGGTGGGTCAGATGAACCCTCGGCGCAGGGTTCAAGGACTGAAAAGGCTGGACGTAGGGTGATTGAGTGACTGAGTTGGGGCCTCGGAGGTCATCTAGCTGGACCCCTGTCTTTGCAAGGGGTCCTTCCAGAGAGGGGCAGTCTTATCGCCTCTGCTCTACCGACAATCAAATCTTAACGATGGGGACATTTCTGAAGTTTTGACTCTGATTTTTAGAAGGAGGAAGGGAGAAAGGAACGAAGGGAGAGAGGAACTAAGGAAGGAAAGAATAAAGGAAGGGAGAAAGGGAGGGAAGGAATAAGGAAGGAGGGAGGGAGGAAAGAATTAAGGAAGAAAGGGATAGAGAGGGAAGGAAGGAAAAGAAGGAGGGGAGGAGGAAAGAATCTCTCTCACACACACACAACGCAAACCTTTTGCCCAGCTCTGCTCCTTTCCCCCCCCCCGCAGGGCCGGGCGATGGCCACCATGTTGTACCCGCGGGAGGAGAAGCTGGAGAAGCTCAGCCAGGACGAGATCGTGCTGGGCACCAAGGCCGTGGTGCAAGGCCTGGAGACGCTGCGCAGCGAGCACCACTCCCTCCTGGCCGCGCTGCTGGGCACCGTCAGCCGCCTGGAGCCGCCGCACGAGGCCAGCGCCGCCCAGGAGAAGGCCCTGCTGCTGAGGAAGTCCCTTGAGGCCATCGAGCTGGGCCTCGGCGAGGCCCAGGTAGGTCTGACCCCTTGCGTGCCGTCGGGCAGCTGCGATCGGAATCCTGGATCAAAGGCCGACAAGTCCCGCTTTTTTTTTTTTTGTCTCCCCGGCCCGGCATCACCAGGTGATCATCGCCCTGTCCAGCCACCTGAGCGCCGTGGAGTCGGAGAAGCAGAAACTGCGGGCTCAGGTCCGGCGCCTGGTGCAGGAGAACCAGTGGCTGCGGGACGAGCTGGCCGCCACCCAGCAGAAGCTGCAGAGGAGCGAGCAGTCGGTGGCCCAGCTGGAGGAGGAGAAGAAACATCTGGAGTTCATGAACCAGATCAAAAAGTTGGACGAGGACGTCTCCCCGTCGGTAGGTGGTGTTTTGTTGTTGTTGTTCTCCCTGTTCAGAGAAGTTGGTGTCCGGCTCGGTTAGGGGAGCCTTGAACCCAGGTCCAGGGGCCAAAACGTTGGGTTGAGCGGCTACCGTATCACCCCCTAGTCCTTTCTAGTCTAAAGAAAAGAAGCACCGGGGGGGACAGGATAGCAGCCTTCCAGTGTTTGAGGGGCTGCCCCAAAGAAGAAGGGGTGGAGGGGTCCAGCTCTTCTCCAAAGCCCCCGAAGGCAGGAGAAGAAGCAACGGCTGGAAGCTAATGAAGGAGAGAAGCAAGCTGGAACGAAGGAGGAATTTCCTGAGGGTGAGGACAATTAACCAGAGGAACAGCTTGCCACCAGAAGTTGTGGGTGCTCCAATATTGGAGGTTTACAAAAAGGGACTAGTCACCCATTTGTTCATAATGATATAGGTCTCCTGCTTGAGTAGGGGTGGGCTAGATGACCTCTAAGGTCTCTTCCAATTCTGTTATTCTGCTATTCTTTTTTCCTCCCTCCCTGTTTTTCCTCCCTCCTTCCCTCCCTCCCTCCTCCTTCTTTCCTTCCCTCTCTCCCTCCCTCCCTCTAATCTTCCCTTCTTTCTTCCTTCCTCCCTCCCTCCTTCCCTCCCTCCCTCTTTCTCCTTCCTTCCTTCCCTCTCTCCTTCTAATCTTCCCTTCTTTCTTCCTCCCTCCTTCCCTCCCTCTTTCTCCTTCCTTCCTTCCCTCCTTCCCTCCCTCCCTCTAATCTTCCCTTCTTTCTTCCTTCCTCCCTCCCTCCCTCTTTTTCCTTCCCTCCCTCCCTCCCTCTTTCTCCTTCCTTCCCTCCCTCCCTCTAATCTTCCCTTCTTTCTTTCTTCCTCCCTCCCTCTTTTTCCTTCCCTCCCTCCCTCTTTCTCCTTCCTTCCTTTGATTGCTTCCTTTTTTTGCCCAGGATGAGAAAAATGGGGAGGCAGCAAAAGACACATTGGATGATCTCTTTCCTAACGACGATGACCAGGTTCAAGGTAAGCTACGGAAGGTCCCGGATTCATTCTTAAGCAGTGCATTGTGTTGTTGTTAAGTGGCACAAGAAAGATGATGAGGGGAGGCTAACGCATGTGAACAATGCTTGTAGGAATTGGGTATAATCTAATGAAAAGAGGGACTGGGGGGAGATGATAGCAGCCTTCCAACATATGAGGGGCAGCCCCAAAGAAGAAGGGGGGGTCAACCTGTTCTCCAAAGCGCCTGAAGGCAGGACAAGAAGCAACGGATGGAAGCTAAACAAGGAGAGAAGCAACCTGGAACTAAGGAGAAACTTCCTAACAGTGAGGGCAATTAACCAGTGGAACAGCTTGCCACCAGAAGTTGTGGCTGCTCCAACACTGGAGGTTTTTAAGAAAAGATTGGACAGCCCTTTGTCTGGAATGGGATAGGCTCTCCTGCTTGAGCAGGGGGCTGGACTAGACGACCTCCAAGGTCCCTCCCCTCTCTCTATTATTCTGTTATTCTGCTTGAGCAGGGGCTGGACTAGACGACCTCCAAGGTCCCTCCCCTCTCTATTATTCTGCTATTCTGCTTGAGCAGGGGGCTGGACTAGACGACCTCCAAGGTCCCTCCCCACTGTATCGTTCTATTACTTTGTGCTGTTACAAGCTGAGGACTGCCTTTACTCCCAGGGGGAATATCCTCATGGGCTCTTTCCAGCTGATTGGGCAGGTCTGTCTCTGCAGGGCAAACTCACCCCAGCGGCGAGTCGGCGGCCCAGCAGGGGGGCTACGAGATCCCGGCCCGTCTCCGGACGTTACACAATCTGGTGATCCAGTACGCTTCCCAGGGGCGCTATGAAGTGGCCGTCCCGCTCTGCAAGCAGGCTCTGGAGGACCTGGAGAAAACGTCCGGTCACGATCACCCCGATGTGGCGACCATGCTGAATATCCTTGCCCTGGTGTACAGGTGGGGGGCTCAGGGGTGGCGCTTGGGGGGGGTGGGGGACACCAAATGGCCTTGCTTTTACTTGAACCCAGGGCTCTCCACCCTGGGCCACGTTGGAGACTGGTGGACTGGCAACGCCCAGAATTCCCCAGCCAGCAAACGGGGCCACTTTGAAGACTGGTGGACTTCAACGCCCAGAACTTCGTCACTACTTGAATCTAAGAAACTAAATATGTGTGGTTTTTTTTTCCTTCTCGCCAGAGACCAAAATAAATACAAGGAAGCTGCCCACCTTCTGAATGATGCTTTGGCTATCCGGGAAAAGACGCTGGGAAAAGACCACCCAGCTGTAAGTGCAGGCTGGAACCGACCTTCCCTCTCGGCTCTGATGGAAGGATTTAAAGACTGTATAATCTTCTGTTTATTTTATACATCCCTTTCCCTTCCCTTCCCTTCCCTTTCCTTTCCTTTCCTTTCCTTTATCTTCCCCTCACTTTCTCTCTTTCCTTTCCTTCCTTCCTCCCTCCTTCCTTCCTCCCTTCCCTCATTCCTATTTCCTTCCTTTATTCCTTCTTATTTCCTTCCTCCCTCTTCCTTCCTCCCTCCCTCCCTCTGTTCCTTCCTTCCCTACCTACTTACCTACCTCTTTCTTTCTTCCCTTCCCTTCCTTTTTTCCTTCCTTCCTCCCTCCCTCCTTCCTTCCTTCCCTCATTCCTATTTCCTTCCTTTATTCCTTCCTATTTCCTTCCTCCCCCACCCTCCCTCCCTACCTCCCTCTTTCTTTCTTCCCTTCCTTTTTTCCTTCCTTCCTTCCCTCCTTCCTTTCCTCCCTCCCTGCCTCCCTCATTTTCTTTCATTCATTCATTCATTCATTCATTCATTCAGATCTGCTAAGGTTTCCCATGGTCCTTTTCTTGCGAAGCGGGTCCAGGGAAAGTAACCAACATCCCTTTGGGCACGGGGTCTTCCAACGTGGCCCTTTGATGACTGGCGGACTTCAACTCCCAGAATTCCTCGTGCCTGGCTGAGGAATTCTGGGAGCTGAAGTCCACCAGTCATAAAAGGGCCAAGTTGGAAGACCCCCTGCCTTTGGGTTTTTGACGCAGGCTGTTTCTTTTCCCACAGGTGGCTGCTACACTCAACAACCTGGCCGTCCTGTACGGGAAACGAGGGAAATATAAAGAGGCCGAACCTTTGTGTAAGAGAGCCCTGGAGATTCGCGAGAAGGTACTTGCGTATTTCGCCTCGACTTGCGATGGTTCGTTTAGTGACGTTTCAAAGTTGCAGTGTCACTGAAAAAAAAGCCTTTTAGCCTTTAAAATCAGCAATGACTTGTGGCCCGCCCTTCTCAGGCTGGTTTAGGACTGTTACCCAAAAAAAGCTAGTCCTCGGCGTACGACACTCCTTTTAGTGACCGTTTAAAGTTACAAAAAGGGACAAAGTTTTTCACAATTACGACCGTTGCAGCCTCCCCTTGCGGTGTGTGTGTGTGTGTGTGTGTGTGTGTGTGTTCCTTCTTTAAAATGTCTGAATGTGGCTGCCTCTTCCTCCATCCAGGTGCTCGGAAAATACCACCCGGACGTAGCAAAGCAGCTGAACAACCTGGCCCTCCTTTGCCAAAACCAGGGCAAGTATGAGGAGGTCCAGTACTATTACCAGCGGGCCCTCGAGATCTACGAATCTCGCCTGGGCCCCGACAATCCAAACGTAGCCAAGACCAAGAACAACCTGGTGAGTTGGACCTTTAATAATAGTAATAGTAATGGCAATAATAATAATAATAAAAATAAAAAATAACAACAATAAAAAGTTGGAAGGGACCTTGGAGGTCATCTAGCCCAACCCCCTGCCCAGGCAGGAAACCCTACACCATTTCAGACAAATGGCTGTCCAGTCTCTTCTTGAAAACCTCCAGTGATGAAGAAGGGAGGGAGGGAGGGAGGGAGGGAGGGAGGAAGGAAGGAAGGAAGGAAGGAAGGAAGGAAGGAAGGAAGGAAGGAAGGAAGGAAAAAAGAATAGCAGAATCACAGAGTTGGAAGGGACCTTGGAGGTCATCTAGCCCAACCCCCTGCTCAGACAAAAAACCCTACTCCATTTCAGACAAATGGCTATCCAGTCTCTTCTTAAAAACTTACAGTGTTGGAGCATTCACCGCTTCTGCAGGCGAGTAAAGTAGAGTAGAGTAGAGTAGAATAGAATAGAATAGAATAGAATAGAATAGAATAGAATAGAATAGAATAGAATAGAATAGAATAGAATAGAATAGAATAGAATAGAATAGATAAGAGAATGAAGAATAGAATAATGAAAGAATAGAATAGAATAGAATAGAATAGAATAGAATAGAATAGAATAGAATAGAAGGGACCTTGGAGGTCATCTAGTCCAACCCCCTGCCCAAACCCTGGACAAATGACTGTCCAGTCTCTTCTTGAAAACTTCCACCTTTGGAGCATTCACAGCTTCTGGAGGCAGGTCGTTCCACTGGTGAATTGTTCTCCCCGTCAGGAAATTTCTCCTTAACTCCAGGTTATCCTCATCTTTTTTTTTTCTTTTTCCTCCTCCCTCCCCATCGCTCTCTCCTCTCGTGACATGCCCTTTGGAAAGCCAACCTGGCAAATTGGCAAAGTTGGGGGGTTTTTTTTGGGGGGGAAGGAAGGGGCAGCCCTCCCCCCCCACCCAAAAGAAAAAGCTAGACAAACCAAGTTGGTTTAAAGAATCACCTGAAACCTGGCTTGTTTTTTTTCCCCCCCTCTGACCTCTGGATTTATCTCCTCACAGGCCTCTTCTTACATCAAGCAAGGGAAGTACAAAGAGGCTGAGGCTCTCTACAAGGAGATCCTGACTCAGGCGCACGAAAGGGAGTTTGGATCGGTCAACGGTGAGCCCGGGATCGAATCTTCCCATCATTTGGGGGCGGGGAGGGCACAATCTTCCAAAAAGAGCCTGGCTTAGAACTTCTTGGAAGACTGGAAAAATAGCTAGGGTGGCATGCAAGGGATTGTGTGTGTGTGTGTGTCTTGTGTTTTTAAGTGTGGAAAGAGGGCGAAGAGGCACAACTGGCTAACTTTGGGGAGACAGTTTGGCCTAGTGGTTAAGGCCCCAAGCTAAACCCCAGGAGGTGGTGAGTGCTAGTCCTTGCCTCGAGATCTGAAAACCGCTGGGAGACTTTGGGCCCAATTGCCAGGAGACGGTGAATTCTAGTCCCACCTTAGACAGGGAAGCCGGCTGGGTGACTTGGAGCCAGTCCCTCCTTCTCAGCCCTGCCCACCCCACAGGGCTGTTGTTGCAGGGAATATAGGAGGAGGAAGGACTATTAGATACGTTTTTGCGGCCTTGATTTGTTTGTCAAAATAATAAAGCCAGGATTTGAAATAAAGTAAGACAGTCATGTCCCCGATACATACAGCTATTCAGTCTTTCCCTGGCAAAGACCTTTCCTAACCATGTCAAGAATGCACTCCCTTTTAAAAAAAAAAAAAACACTGATTTTTTTTCCTCCCTCTTTTAGCTCTGGAAAATTTGGTTTAACATTTAGCTTAAATTAGCTTAAATTTTAATTCTGGAAGGGCCCTCCCTTCCCTCTTTCTCTTCCTATTTCTCCCTCTCTTTTTCTCTTTCTCTTTCTTTCTTTTTCTCACTTGTTTCTCTTTCTCTCTTTCTCTTTCTCTCTTCCCCCTTTCTCTTTCTCATTGTCCCTTTTCCATCCTTTCTCTGTCTCTCTTTGTTTCTTTCTCTTTCTCCTTTCTCTTTCTCTCTTTCCCACTGCTTCTCTCTCTCCCCCTTCTTTCTTTTCTCTCCTTCTCCCTTTCCCACTCTCTCCCCCCTTTCCTCTCTCTCTTTCTTTCTCTTTTTCTTTCTCTCTCTCTCTCTCCTGTCTGTCTCTCTCTCTCTCTCTCTCTGTCCCATTTCCCTTCACCCTCTCCTGCAAGGGGCTGTGCTTCACAAAACAACATAATTGTGCATATTCCCAACTCAAATTCCTCCTTTCCAGCCAGGATGACTCACACATCTGTGTCCTGCCTGCTCTTCTTTCGCTTAGTCATTTTCCTGTCTTCGGTGTGCTTGTCCCGGTGTGCAAATCTGCAAACTTGGGTGAGCTCAGTGCAAAGGGAATGTGGCACAACCTGAATTTAAGCCGCAGGCTGGGTTCACGGCCCCGTTCAGCTTCACATCCGGATTCACACAACCGACCAAGGAGCAGTTGTATAAAAACTAGATAAATAAATGTATTACTCTCTCTCTCTGCTGAGCCTGCTCTGAGCAACACGCCTATCCGACATTGGTAATCCCGGTTAAAAGTGGATACCATGATATGTTACAGGGTTTCCTTCCTGAGCAGGGGGTTGGACTAGAAGACCTCCAAGGTCCCTTCCAGCTCTGTTATTCTATTCTATTCTATTCTATTCTATTCTATTCTATTCTATTCTATTCTATTCTATTCCTATGATTCTATTCTATTCTATTCCTATTATTCTATTCTATTCTATTATTATTATTATTCTATTCTATTCTATTCCTATGATTCTATTCTATTCTATTCCTATGATTCTATTCTATTCTATTCTATTCTATTATTATTATTATTCTATTCTATTCTATTCTATTCTAGTTAAAAGTCAAACAATATCCACGAGGCAGGCCTGTTGCGCAGCTGAACCATCACACTGTTGGTGCCTCGAATTTTCTCAACAATTTCTTCATTTCTCTGCAGGTGACAATAAACCAATTTGGATGCATGCCGAAGAACGAGAAGAATGTAAGGTATTTCGGGGGGGCTTGGCAGAGATTCAAAGGCTAGCTTGCTTTTGCCCAAGATACAGGAACCATATCCAAACGATTCCTTCCCTTTAACTATTATTATTTTTTTAATCTTGTTTTCCCCTTCAGGATAAGTATCGAGAAAACAGCGCGCCGTACAGAGAATATGGCAGCTGGTACAAAGCCTGTAAGATGGACAGGTAAGAGGCCATCGGTGAGAAGAAGCTGACCGTTTAATCGGATGGGAGGGAATTTGCTTCTCAAGAAGAGGTTGGACCGTCATTTGTCCAGAAAAGTATATAGGGCAGGGTTCTCCAAAGCTGGCCACTTTAAGACTGGTGGACTTCAACTCCCAGAATTCCTCAGCCAGCAAACTTGGCAACTTTTAAGACATGCTGGCTGGAGAATCTTAAAGTGGCCAAGTTTATGGGGTCTTCTGCCTTGAGCAGGGGGTTGGACTAGATGACCTGCAAGGTCTCTTCCAACTTTTTATTATTATTATTATTATTGATCATCACACAGTCAGTCAGATGTTCCGACTGGATATGGCATTTTGTCTACCTATAGAGTCCTTACCTGGGATAGGCAGATGTGGATGTTTGATGGTATTACAGATATCGTCGCAGATTATTATTATTACTACTACTACTACTACTATTATTATTATTATTATTATTATTCGTGCTGGCCGTTGTAGTGGGCGTACAACCTGGGCCCTTGGCAACCGGCTTGCATTGAAAAAAGAGCTGCAGGCTGTGATTCGCTCAATGACCTGATCCCCAGCTTTGCTTGTCTCTCCCCCCCCCCCAGCCTCACCGTCAACGCCACTTTGAAGAGTTTGGGGGCTCTGTATAGGCGCCAGGGCAAGGTGGAAGCCGCCGAGACGCTGGAAGAATGTGCCCACAAGTCGCGCAAGCAGGCAAGCGTGTTTTTTTTCCCTTTCTTTCCATGGGCCATAAGCCGAGGAATCTCCGTCACTGCACAGGCACCTGTCCATCTTCATTGGACACGGATTAATATTCCTGTTTCTACCCCTTTCCTGTGTTTTCCAGGGCATGGACGCCTTCAACCAGAGCAAAATCGTGGAGCTCCTCAAGGACGGGAACCGGGCCGAACAGCAGCCGAGCCGGGACGGCACTCCCGGCGCCAGGAAGTGCGAGAACGAAACCGAATCAGAAGAAGGAGTAGCCGAGTGGTCTGGGGTGAGGAAGAGCGAAAACTGGACCCATCCTAAGCTACAGAATATGCCTCATAAAATGAGGAGAAAAACCAACAAATGTAGAATTGAGGGTTTTGTGTAGATGGTGGCCGGGTTCACACAGTGTGAAAAAACCCAGGTTTGCTTAAAATACTGTGGCCTGGAGTTCCAGAAGCCACTAAAACCGTAGACTGGGTTAAGCCCCAAGTGATTCGAACCACATTACAGATTTCCTTGAAGAAGTGGTTGGCTGGGGAATTTTGGGAGTTGAAGTCCACATATTTTAAAGTATGCTGGGTAGAGAATTCTGGGAGTTGAAGTCCAGCATATTCATTGGGGAATTTTTCAAGTTAAAATCCACATATTTTAAAACTTGCTGGCTGGAGGATTCTGGGAGTTGAAGTCCACCTCTCTTAAAGCATGCTGGCTGGGGAATTCTGGGAGTGGAAGTCCACCCCTCTTAAAGTATACTGGCTGGGGGATTCTGGAAGTTGATGTCTACCCAACTTAAAGCAGGCTGGCTGGGGGATTCTGGGAGTTGAAGTCCACCCCTCTTAAAGCATGCTGACTGGGGGATTCTGGGAGCTGATGTCCACTCTTAAAGCAGCCACGGTTGAAAAATATTGGCTTAGCATGAAGAATACACGAAAAACCAACCTTGACCTGTTCCCCAAACGTACCCCCAGCTCCCAGGCAGGGACTACACCTCCTCAAATCCTTTGCTATCTGGCTGGGAATTTTGGGAGCCCTTGTCCCAACACCCTCGAAGGCCAGTGTCGCCATTTGCAGCATCCCGGCTTCCTTGCCGCCTGAAAGATGGAGTCAAGCTGTGGGTCTTTCGCTCTCCCAGGTGGGCTCTGGAGCTCTGCGGCGTAGCGGCTCTTTCGGGAAACTGCGGGACGCCCTGCGACGGAGCAGCGAGATGCTGGTCAAGAAGCTTCAAGGCAATGGCCCACAGGAACCGAGGAATCCAGGGTGAGTTTCCGTTTGGGGGGAATCCAGGAAGCCCCCAGACTGCGTCTCCTTTATTTTTTTTTATTTTTTGAAAAGTTTGGAACGAGAGGTTATTTTGCTATCTGATCCTCATGTCGTCCCGATCGTCTTACTTTGTCTACGAGCAAAAAGGGAGGCCCAAATTTCTATGGCTAAGCAAGGCAGCTGTTAAGGGAGTCTTGATCCATTTTATGACCTCGCTTGCTTGTTCTTAAGGGAATCCATGCAGGCGGTTGCTAAGTGCAACCGGCTTCCGTCGTTGACGTTGCTTGCCAGAAGGTCGTAAAAGGGATCACGTGACCCGGGGATGCTGCGACATAAATACGAGCCCATTGCCAAGCTGTCTTGAGTTTTAATCACGTGACCAAAGGGATGCTGTAGGTGTCATTAAGTGTGAAACACGGTCCTAGGTCCCTTTTTCCGGTGCCGTTGTAACGTTGAACGGTCACTAAACGAAGTGGGGTAAGTCGAGGACGTGGTTTAGTAAGCGATTGGTGTATATGTGGGTTTAGTAAAAGATCGTGCAAGTGTTGGTGGCCGAAATGAAGTGGCCAAGAGATTTCAGTCTTCAAATGCTGATCGCCCAAAGTGGATCCCTTTCTGGTTTCTCTCGCCGCAGGATTAAAAGGGCCAGTTCGCTCAACTTCCTGAACAAGAGCCTAGAAGAAGAGCCCAGCCAGGTAACACACCTGTGGGAAGCTGCCCAACTTTCTATTTTGGACTGGAGGGAAAATGGGTGGGAAGGAAGGAGAGAAAGTGAAAGAAAAAAGGAAGGAAGGAAGGAAGGAGAAATAAAGAAAAAGAAGAAAGAAAGAGAAAGGAAAGAAAGAGAGAAAGGAAAGAAAGAGAAGGAAGGAAGGAAGAAAGAAAAGAAAGAGAAAGAAAGAGAGAGGGAGGGAGGGAGAAAGGAAGATAGGTGGGAAGGAAGGAAAATGGGTGAGAAGGAAGGAAAGAGAGAAAGGAAAGGAAAAAAAGGAAAGAACGAAAAAAGAGAAAAAGAGAAAAGGAGGGAGGGAAGAAAGGAAATGGGTGGGAAGAAAAGGAGGGAAGAAGGAAGGAGAAAGGGAGCAGTAGAAGAGGAAGGAAGGGAAGAGGAAGGAAAGAAGGGATGAAGGAAGGAAGGAGGAGAAGTGAAATGAAAGGGGTGACAACCCCCCCCCCCTCAAACTGTTGAGATGCACAGCCGCCATCCCTCCCTCTTCCCTCTTCTGCTCTTTCTCACTGCAGGGCTCCGGCAGCCTCTGTGACAGCCGAGGCTTAAGCGCCAGCAACGTCGACCTGCCCCACCGAAGGTCCCTGATGGCGTGACGTCCTCCACGGCTCAGGCTGGGTCGAGCGGCGGAAATCCGGACCGCTTCGAGCTTCCGCCTGGACCCTCATCCCTGGAGAATTCCCGACCCTCGTTGACCTAGGGCTCCCGCCATTTCGGTTCAGACACAGCGGTGGGCCCAAGTCTCTCTCTCTCCCCCCTTCACGGGTGTGCCCTGGGCGCCCCACAAGCACACCCACCAACCCAACATCTCCCTCTCCCCCTCCCCAGCATGTTGCCTCCACGGCCCTCCTCCTCGGCCCCGGCCACCGAGGGCCAACCCCTCCTCTAATTCCATATTAACGCAGGATGCCTCGATTCGTGGCAAGGCACCACGGATCGCGTCCTGTTGGGGGGGGGGGCGAGGGACACCCCCCCCCCGAAGCTGCATGGTTTTTCAAGGTTTTGCGCTCGCGTGTTGCAAAAACGGGGCGCAACCCACCCACCTTAATGTGTCCTTCTGCAAAGGCAGAATAATCTCGCTTAAGGATCCTTTTCATGGCTCGCTTCTCGCCTTCCGCAATGAGTGGATCCTTTCTGTTTGAGGATCAATTGTGCCCGGCCTCAGGGAGACCCCCACCCAGCCCATCCTCCCTCTTCTCTCTAAATCCCTTCCCTCTTCTCCTCCATCGGCACTGGATTTTTTTATTTATTTTGAGCGGGGACCGCCTGGATTACCATATATATAGCTTCTGCAGCCCCTTCATTCCAGGGCTCGCTTACTGACGGAATACCCTGTGTCCGTGCAAATATTCCTCTCTCGTTCTTCCCTACTCCTCTCCTTTCTCCCTTCCACCTTTGGTTGCTTTTTTTTTTTTTCCCAACTGCCTGAGCTTTGGGGAGGATTATTAATCCCACTCCCGCTGGCTCCCATTTTAAGGAGAAGATGTATACTCTTTGCCGCCTTCCTTCCTTGCCCAAATGCTCGGGAATCCCGTCACGTCCGACGCCCGCTAATGTCAGCCTGTTTACCGGACAGTCTTTCCAGCCAGGATGCTGTGCACCCCCAATAAACAGCCCCTTTCTCCTCTCTACCTGCGTCGCTTGGGCGTCCATTCCGTAAAAATAATAATAAATAGTAGCTAAGAATTTAAGCTAAAGGGGTAGAAAATTGGGCTAAGCAGAAGATCCGATCCATTTTCCGATCGCTCTTCTCTCCATATTCTTGCCTCTTCACTGCAAGTGCTGCGTCCTTTTTTTTTTTCCTTCCTTCCTTCCGCTGCTTCTAGAGACGGAAGACTCTAATCAGAGGCAGGGAGAAAGTCACTCAGCTTAAGACTCTCTCTCTCTCCCTCTCCCTTGTAGCCCGTAGAGGGGACAGTCCAGTTAATTTTTCAGTTTATTTTTTATTTTTATTTTTTTTCCCCCTCCTTCCTCTTCCCAGGACAGCGGGCAGGGCCCCGGTAACTTATATCACATACATCTTGCGCGCGTGTTTGTGTGTTTGCGGGCAGGGGGTGGGGGTGGGGTTTGTGTGTGGAGAAAAGGTTTAATGGTTGCGTCCAGGTGAAATGAGAGGAAAAGAATTGTGCTTTGTATTATGTTGCTGTAGAAATAAAATGAGAGGAATATACTTTGTGGTTGGTCTTCTTCCTCCTTCTCCTCCTCCTCCTCTTCTTCTTCTTCCTCCTCCTCCGTTCCTCTTCTTCCTTCCTTCTTCTCCTTTCCTCCCCCCGTCCTCCTCCTCCTCCTCTTCTTCTTCTCCTCCTCCTCCTCCTTCTTCCCTTCTTCCTTCTTCGGCTCTTCCTTCTCCTTCTTCACCCTTCGCTTTATTTATTTTGCCTTCTGTTCAGTCATGTCCGACTGGAGTCCTTTAATTAGAAAATCAAAAGTCATATGAATCTCCAAGGCTGTTTTTAGGGAGCTGACTAGATGATCTCCTCAGCTCTCACGTTCCCCACAGCAAGGCAGTCCCTCCTTAAATGTGTGGTTGTGTTTTTAGACGTGTACGCGCCCTAGGAACACACCCACGCTATTGTGGAGAGAATAAAAGATGGCTGGTTTGATCCCAGACGCTGCAACCGTCATAAATGTGCTGTCGTAACTTTGAATGGTCACTAAATGAATGTAAGTCAAGGATTACCCAGTATCTAGAGAACGTATTTTACAATACTGTATAATAAATACGACAAATAAATAGTACATGTAAGTTTGTATATGCAAATGATAAACAGGTTTGACTAGACCCAGTTGGTAGATGCAAAATATTAAAATTTAGATATTTAACATCTATTTAAATGTTTCACATATAGACTGCATCTAAATGGGGATATCATTAGATCTAATTTAAATAATATCTATTTCAATATTTCACATATAAACTAGGTCTAAATAGTCATGACATCTTATTTAAATATCTAACTATTTCAATATTTTGCATACAAAAGATCTAAATGGTCATATCACTAGATCTAAGTTAAATATCTAATTTCAATATTTTGCATAATAAACTGGGTCTAAATGGTCATTGTTACACCTTATTTATTTCAATATTTTGCATATAAACTGGGTGTAAATGGCCATATCATTTGATCCTATTTCAATAATATCCAATCAGGTTCTTTAATATCTAATTAAATACATGATTATACTGCTGTAGAATGGCACCCTATAATTAACAGCCCTGAGGCCCAAGCGGCGAGGACTCAATTTCCCAGAGTGCCTCTGGGCAGCGGCCATGACGAGCAAGACAACTCCAGGGGGCGGGGCGAGGCAAGGATTGACGTCAAAACAAGGAAGCCGGAATCTTCATTTCCCGTCAGGCCGCGCGGCCGGGGAGGAAAAAAAAGAACGAACGAGCGAGCGAGAGAGAGAAAGGCGCTCTCCTCCTTTAAAAAAAAAAAAAAGTCAGCGCGAAGACTACGCCTCCCGGCGTGCCCCGCGCGGGCCGCGCGTGCGCGGTGTTAAAGTGGCCCCTGCGGGGTGAGGGCGGGGGAGAGGCGGCCATCTTGTGCGAGAAGCGACCGGAGGCGCCAGGCAGGAAGCCCTGAAGGAGGCCGGAGGAAGGAAGAAAGGAAGGAAAGAAGGCAGGAAAGAAAGCAGGAAGGAAGGCAGGGAGAAGAAGCCGCGAGCAGAGCCGCCCGCCCGCCGCGGAGGAGCCGCCGCCGCCGCCGCCATGAACCCCGAGTAGTGAGTGTCACTCGCCGCCGGGGGTGGCTCCGGGAGGGAGGGAGGGAAGCGGCGACCTCAGCCTCCCTCAGCCAGGCCGGGAAGGACGCCCTCCTGCCTCGCCTGGCTGGTGGACAGCCGGACTACAAGCCCCATCGTCCCCGCCCGGGGTTGGGGGTCTCCTGAGGGGGCGGACTACACGCCCCATCAGCCCCCACCCCCGGGCCGGGGCTTGAGGTTCCTGTGGGGGTAGGGGGATGGGCCGCGTTTCCCATCATCCCCAGCCTGGGTGTTGCTTGGAGGGCGGCTTTGTAACCCCTTCATGCGCGGGGGGGGAGGAGGTGGGGTTGCGGCCCCATCGTCCACGGCTGGGGGAGTGACACACCCCCTCTCCAAAGTTGGGGGCCTTCTGAATGGTGGAATTGTCACCCATGCTCCACGGCAGGGACAGTTCCCTCCCCCCAGGGTGTTTACTTTTGGGGGAGTGGGATGGTGGCCCCATCATCCACAGCAAGGCTAGTTTTCTCCTCTCCCCACCCCCCAGGGTGTTTCTTGTTGGGAGTGTGTGGTGGTGGCCCCATCATCCACAGCAGGGCTCATTTCCCCCACCCTCCCCCAGGGTGTTTCCTGTTGGGAGAATAGATTTGTGGACCTATCATCCATAGCAGGGCTTGTTTCCTGTTGGGAGGATGGGGTAGTGGCCCCATCATTCACAGCACAGCTAGTTTCTCCCCAGGGTGTTTCCTGTTGAGAGGATGTGGTGGCCCATCGTCCCCAGCAAGGCCAGTATCTCCCTAGGGTGGTTCCTGCTGGGAGAAGGGGCTTGCAACCCCATCATCCACAACTGCAGCCCCCTCTCCCCTGGAGTTGGGCAGCCAATACATTTCCATTAAAAATACTAAACTCATCATCTTTCCTCCTTTCCTGCCATGGAATTATAACCCCATAATCCCCAACTGGGTAAACTTCCCCTATGGCTGGCTCCCCCCTTCAGACAAGGAGGGATTGCCGCCCCATCATCCACAGCAAGGCCAATTTTCTCTCCAACATTGCTCTTTGTTGCTTCCCCCCCCCCAAAAGGCTTTAAAAAAAAAAAAAAACCACACACACACACAAAAAAAAAAACCATAATTCCCAGCTGACACAGCCTTATGGATTTATAGTCCAACTCAACCCCTTGGTGTAAACAGCTTATTACTCATGCTGGAATATCTGAATCCTCTTCAGTGATGGCAAAAAATGGCCAAGACAAATGTTTTTAGAGACTCTGAATATTGTGAGAAAAGCTGTTTTTATATTTTTTTTAGCTTTTTAAAATGTGTATTTTTTAATGTTTTAGCGTTTAAAATGAGTAACGGCTTGTAGCCCACCATTCTCATGCCGGCCTATGTAAAACCAGGTAGTCCTCGACTTACAACGGTTCATATTGTGACTGTTCCAAGTTACAACAGCACTGAAAAAAGTGACTTAGGACCTTTTTTTTTCATACTTACGACCGTGGCAGCATCCCTACGGTCACGTGATCAAAAAAATCAGGAGCTTGGCAACTGACTCATGTTTTTTGACAGTACATATTTGCCACCTTCTGACAACCAAAGTCAATGGGGCTAGCCAGATTTTCCTTAACAACCGTGGGGAATTCTGGGAGTTGAAGTCCACAAGTCTTAAAGTTGCCAGATTTGGAGACCCCCGCCTCTAGTAAATAAGGTGGGAACGCCCCGAAGCCCCTTGCTCTTTTAGCTAAGCCATTTTCACTTCTCCCTTCCATTAGACTGCTTCAAGGCCTCCTGCCTGAGCAGGGGGTGGACTACAAGACCTTTAAGGTCCCCTTCTGTTATTCTGTACTGTGGAGTCTTTATCTTTTTCCAACTTCCCAGCTGCTATTTCCACCTCCCCCCAAGGAAGTCCCTTCCTCTATTACGGATCTTAAAATTTCTCCAATGCAAAAGCACGTTGGTCAAACTTTTCTGTTCTCTTTTGTGCCTCTTGCAAAAATCAGGAATCCGTCACTGTCAGTCCCGAGATGTGGAAAACCAGATTGTGGAATCCTTGATCTTGCTGTGCTTTCTGTGAAATATCTTGCATTTTTGTTAAGGGCTGCCCTTCATGTGGCTTTTTCAGAGGGAAAACCCTCCTCATGTATGGAGCGCATAGTTATTTAACACACTATTATTAGAGGGTTTTTTTTTTTTTTTACAGGGTTTGCTTGCCCTTAACATTATTTGGTCCTCCTCCCACTCTGGTTTAGGAAAGGATGAGCTACAAAGTTCACCTAAGGTGCCACAGGACGCCTAAAGAGTTTTGTTGTGACAAAATAAACACCATCCCATCTTTGAAAGCTTCTGTGGGGCTTAATTTGCTTCTCTGCTGAGCTCCGGGGGGTGTTGACACATCACTTTATAAGCCATAGAGTTTAATTTTTGCAAACCACGGGGACTGAGTTCATGCAGGCCAAACCGAAATTAAACAATTCGGTCTCTGTTTCCTTCTAAAAATCGTGCCACAGGATGGGATTATCCAGAGCTATTCCTTGCAACATTTCCTCCGTGTAAATCCCTTGCGTATTAGCAGTAGAGACCTGTAAGCCCTATGGCCCTGTTTTTGCCTTCAGGTAGTCAACGAGGTGTGTGATGGGTCCCCAGTCTGGATGCCTTGATTGTATGACCCTTTTTACGATGGTCGTAAAACCATGATCGCCAAAAGTAATCCCTTTCCCCTGAAGTCACAGTGACATGACTACAGGATCCCCCCCACAACCGGTCATAAATGTGAGCCAGTTGCCAGGTGCCGCAAATGGAATCAGGCATGGATGGTCCTGTGTGTTTGTGTATGTGTGTGGCAGTCAAAACTTCAAGGCAAGTTGTAAATTCGAGGATGGGGTGTAAGTCGCCTTTTTAAGCCAGTCGTAACTTGGGATGGTCATTAAATGAACAGTTGTGAGTTGAGGACTGCCTGTGGGGGTGAACACCAGGCTCTTCCAAGCCCCACAATCTTTATATGAATTCTGAACGTCGCAAGCCAGCATTAATAATGAAAACGAAACAGTTGAATGAGTGATTTTTTTATTATTATTATTTTTTACAACTGCCGACCTACAAAACATTTTTTTTCTCCTTGGGATCTATTTCTTAATTTCTTAAGGCTGCCAAGCAAACAGGAACGGCTGCAGACTAGATGATAATTATTATTTATAATGTTATATTTTACCTGTTGTTATCAGAGGCAAGGCCAGCGGCTGGAATGTAGAAGAGGTGTCCGTGGTTATGTACGGGCCGTCCTCGACTTATGAACAGTTCCGTTTAGTGACCGTTCAGAGTTACAACAGCACTGACCAAAAGTGACTGAAATGGTATAGGGTCTCCTGCTTGAAACAGGGGGTTGATCTAGAAGACCTCTAGCGTCCCTTCCAGCTCTGTTATTCTGCTATTCCTTCCTTCTTTCCCTCCCTTCTCCATCACTGGAGGTTTTCAAGAAATGACTGGACAGCCATGTGGAATAGGGTTTGCTGGCTGAGCAGGGGGTTGGTCTAGCAGACCTCCAGGGTCCCTTCCGATTCTGTCACTCTGCTACAGGTAGTCCTTGACTTACAACCATTCATTTAGGGACCGTTCTAAGTTACAAGGCATTGTAAAAAAAAAGTGCCTTGTGACTTAACAACCGCAGTGAATTCACTTTAACCAGTGAAAGAAAGGTGGTAAAATGGGGGAAAAATTCACTTCGCAGACGTCTCACTTAGCCACGGAGGTTTTGGGCTCAACGGTGGTCGTAAGCCGAGAGAACTACCTGCCTCTGGTCAGGCACTGGAGGAGATCCAGTTGCTCAATCCGTTGAGGCCTTCAGCTGGAGGTGTGAAGGTTACTCGGATGTTGCAAATCCCATCCGGGGCCTGTAGTAGTCTGACTCACCCTCCTGGTTGCTTAACGCCAAGTGACAGGAAGCTGGACTTTGCTCACTGGGTGGAAGAGGCGGAGTGAGCACTCTGCAGGCGCTCAGAGGCACACTAGGCTGATTTGGAGGTGGGGAGGGAGGACTCGGGCCCCTTAGGGATTCAAGAGGCGCTTCCGAGAAGGTCAAAATTCAGGATAGATTGCCCTTGACGTCACAACAGTCCGCTTAGTGACTGCTTGAAGTTACAACGGTGCTGAAAGAAAAGCGACTTAGACTGTTGCCACATCCGGATGGTCACGCAAACAAAATCCATCCCACTTGGCAACTGACTCATACTTATGACGGGCGCAACGACCCAGCAGAATTCTGGGAGTTGAAGTCCACAAGTCCTCAAAGGGCCCAGTTTGAAGACCCCTGCCTTATGATTCCCAGCAACATAGACGCTGTCTGTAGTCTCTTGACAGCTGTCAATCCCGGTTGCCTTGCTGATCCGGAGCAGGATTTTCAGCTGTGTCATCAGGAAGTGTCTCATTCAGCCGTTTTCCATTCCATTAAGTAGTACGACTCACTTCCTACCTGCCTTGTGGTGCTCCTTGAAATTGTGGTGGTGGAATTGTGGCCCCCACCTACCTTCCAGGGGGTGAGGTGTGCATCCCATGAGGGGGGGGGAAAGGTATCTCTGTGCGACATTTGTGTGTTTGTGGAGAATCGCAAGAAGCCCATCCTTGGATCTGGGGAGCCTTAAATATTTCATGTCGAAGAGCTGCAGCGATGCTCTCAGCTCTGCGCAGTCCTGCATCTTCAAAAGTTTGGGGGATGTTTCTAGCCTAAAAGCCCTTTTTTCTCCTAACTCTGCCTCTAGCCCCGAGGAGAAAGGATGTGGTCTTCAACTAGGAGTGGGGCAAGAAAGAGCATTTTCTGTTGGCGTGTTAGGAAGTGTCGTTTTGCGGTTACGGACGGTTGCTTCCTCAAGTGGCCTCCGAAAAGCTGGCGTGGCGGCTTGGAAGCATTATGGAGTTTAGCCAGTGGCTTAAAAGGACCATTTTATTTTATTTTTCCTGTCAACAAGGACTGGGGGGTCCTTGGTGCTCTCTGAGCTTGGTGGTTTTCTTGCAGACATCTCAGGACCCAACCAAGGAACATCATCAGGGCTAGAAGGGTGTGGGGTTTGTGGAGTGAAAGAGGAGGAGGACTATGGGGTCCTTGTTGATCTCTGAGCTTGGTGGTTTTCTTGCAGGCATCTCATGATCCAACTAGGGAACAATATCAGTGCTAGAAGGGAGTGGTGTTTGGAGAGGAGAATAGGAGCACTGAGGAATCCTTGGTGCTCTCTGAGCTTGGCTGTTTTCTTGCAGACATTTCATTACCCAACTAGGGAACATCATCAGTGCTGGAAGGGAGTGGAGTTTGTGGAGGGAAGGAGAAGGGAAAAGGGAAAAGGAGGAGGACTGTGGGGTCCTTGGTGCTCTCTGAGCTGGGTGGTTTTCTTGCAGGCATCTCATGACCCAACTAGGTAACATCCTCAGGGCTACACCTCATTTCCACCCTGAGCTACACACAGTTCTCCTTTCTTGGCCTTCCTGGTGTGTTCCGGCCTGGTCCTGGAGCCTGAATCCAGGTCCACACGTCACCAGCCTCCTCCGTTTCCACCTGGCCAGTGGAACAAAGGCGTCCCTTTGGCGTTCCTCCCTCCCTCCTTTTTAAGTCAGGAAAAGTGCCAACTCACCCATCTGGTGACTCGCCAGCTTCCCGTCACCTCTCTGCCTGTCACTCAAAAGTTCCCTTAAGAAACCTCCTCCGGCCTTTGACTTTATGCGTGGTTCCATCTTGGGGAGGGGAAAAGCCATATCGGGGGGCTGGGTCCCTGGTCCAGATGTGCCCCGGGTTCTGCCCGTCAGGGCAAAGGTCACGCAACAGGAGGATCCTGGGACTTGAAGTCCAGCCCGTCGACAAAAACATCTGGATGGGAAAGGTTGCGTTAGCCCAGGGCTCTTCAAACTTGGCCCTCTGATGACTTGTGGACTTCAGTTCCCAGAAGTCCTCAGCCAGCGTGCCTGCTGGCTGAGGAATTCTGGGAGTTGAAGTCCACAAGTCATAGAAGGGCCAAGTTTGAAGACCCCTGAGTTAGCCGGCCTGATGTGGCCATTAAGCACGGCCAAAACTCTCGTTCCCAAGAGCCAAGTCTTGAGATAAAGCACAGGCAGTCCTCGGCAGCAGTTCATCTAGTGACCTGAAAAAAGTGACCTGTGAAGTTGATCCCAGGGGTCACGGGATCAAACCTCAGACGCCTGGCAAACGACTCGTGACGGTTGCAGCGTCCCAAGGTCACGCGACAGTCTGACCAGCAAAATCAAGAGTGAAGCTACCTTATCAGCTGCCAGTGAATGAATCAACAGGGGGGGAGGCGTCATAAAATGGGGCAAAGCTCACTTAGCAACTGCCTCACTGAACCGCAGAAGTTTTGGGCTCAATTGTTGTAAGTTGAGGACTGCCTGTACGCCCAGTTCTCCCCAGAGATTAAGAAACACGTTCAAACTTCCTGCCCCTTTGATCTCTTTGTGTGTACAAATTGTGTGCTTTTTTTTCTCCCCCCCCCCAGTGATTACCTGTTCAAGCTGCTTCTGATTGGAGATTCCGGTGTGGGGAAATCCTGCTTGTTGCTACGGTTTGCCGTGAGTATCTGCGATTCCCCCAAAACAACTATTCCATCTTTCCAACGCAAAAACAGCCATTCGTTCCTGCTGCTAATTTAGGAATGTTTCAAGGGAAGCTGAGGTCAAGGGAGTGGGGGGGAAATGCATTAAAAAAAATTTCTGGAATTTCTTATCTGCCCCACCTTCAGATCTTTACATCCCCTTTATTTGGGGGGGGGAAAGAGGTTTTTTTTTTTCATGAAACGTCTTTTAACTGTTTTGGCCACGGATTAGTTCTCGTCCTAAATTCCACTGGCATTGATTTAAATCGTGTGATTTCACCTTTTGCAATTGTTTTGGAGGGTTGGGCGGTTAGAATCGTGGCTTGAGCTAATTAACAGGGATCAAGGGCCAGGATTTTGACTGAAGGTGTCATTTTCTCTGTGGTTAGTTATTTTTCTTTTTTTCTCCCCTCCCCGCTCTCCGGGCCAGGATGACACCTACACAGAGAGCTACATCAGCACCATCGGGGTAGACTTCAAGATCCGAACTATTGAACTGGATGGCAAAACCATTAAGCTGCAGATTGTAAGTTTTTGGACGGGCTGTCCCGAAGGGCAGGATAGCCACCACCGCCTGGTTTTTATTCCCTTTCCCAGAAGGAGCCTCTTGATTAAAAATCCAAAATTCATTTCCCTTTTTTTTTTCTGAACCCTTGACTAAATTGGATGAAGCTTTGAGATCCAGCTATGCTGGCTAGGGGGATTCAGCTTGGAAAAATCACCAGGTGGTCAGTTCCTGGTTCCGACAGATGAAACTCTTCAAAAGAACTTCGAGGCATTGTTTACCTTAAAGGATCTTTTATTCAGGTAGCATCATACCGGCACTTACATAATCAAAGCCAAAAATTGAATTCCCCTCCCCTGGGCACCTAGTATCAAAGCACAATTCCCTCTTCCAATTAACAGTCATAAATCACATTCCCCAATTAGCTTGAAACGCAGGCCTCCTCTCCAGCTCTCCAGCCCTGGCCAATTCCTTATCAGCTCTGGTTACAATAACCTTGATTCTCACACTAAGTTTAGTGTTGTGTCTAGCTGGACTCTCATTCACATCCTTCCCCCAGCATCATCTAACTCTAAAGCAGTGTTTCTCAGCCTTGACAATTTTAAGGCATGTGGACTTCAACTCCCAGAATTCTACAGCCAGCATTGCTGGCTGTGGAATTCTGGGAGTTCAAGTCCACATGCCTTAAAACTGTCAAGGTTGAGAAACACTGCTCTAAAAGGAAAAGATGGCTACATTTACATCTGTCAGTGCCAAAACATTCAATGTTAGCAGCGTTCATTATGGGGATTATGGGAGTTGAAGTTCTGTCCGACGAAGCTGCTAACCTCTCTCTCTGCTTTCTCCAGTGGGACACAGCTGGGCAGGAACGGTTCCGGACCATCACGTCCAGCTACTACCGAGGGGCCCACGGCATCATCGTGGTTTACGACGTAACGGATCAGGTAGGGGGGCGGTTCCAGCCACAGAGGAGCAGGACCATGGAGGCTTTTAACACACCTTCTGGGCCCGACACAAAACTCTGCAAAGCAGAGACCAACAAAACTTGGCTTGTCTGCAGCTGTTTTCCCAAGGCTGTTTTTTCTCTTTTTGGCCATGTTGACTATGGGATTCTGGGAGTTGAAGTCCTCCCGGGCCGGCTCTGGGAATTGAAGTCCATGCTGGCTCTGGGATTATGGGACTTGAAGTCCTTCTGTGCTGGCTCTGGGATTATGGGACTTGAAGTCCTTCTGTGCCGGCTCTAGGATTCTGGGAGTTGAAGTTCCACCTGGAAATCATGGCTGGGAAATGCCAGCTTGGCCTTCTGGATCCTCTTCAAGGGTTATGGGCCTTGGAGTAGCGCCCGGCGCCCCCTCCAGGCCTCACCTTGCCTCTTCCTCCCTCTGGCTTCTGCCCAGGAATCATACAACAACGTCAAGCAGTGGCTGCAGGAGATTGAGCGCTACGCCAGCGAGAACGTCAACAAGCTGCTCGTCGGCAACAAGTGCGACTTAACCACAAAGAAAGTGGTGGACTACACAACCGCCAAGGTGAGTCTCCAGCTGCGGGAAGCACAGGTCAAGATCTGCAGCCTGGGGCGGTCCAGTGGGGGGAAGCATCTCTGTGGGGTGTATCCCCATGTTGCAGGTCATCCTCGACTCCCAACCGTTCATTTAGTGACCATTCGAACTTACGGCGTGCCTTATGCCCGATGCTTGCACTTCACAGCGCGCTCACGGCATCAGAAATCAGGTTGCTTGGTAACCGGCCTGCATTTACGACGGTTGCAGCACCCCCCCAACCACCACTTGCTTCCTTCCCGCAAGCAAAAAAAGCTGGATTCGCTTAACAGCCACATTGCTCGCTGTACGACCGTAGCGTTTACGCAACCACCCAGCTGGGGGGTGGGAGAGGGGAAAAAAAGGTCATCAGATCAAAAATATTGATCAAAAATGAAATAAAATCGGGCACGGCCGGTTTCACCACCACAGACCCACTTAAACCACCGCAAATTCTGATCCCGGTCGCGAGTCGAGGGCGCCCCGCCAACGGGCCGAATCCCGTTTCTTGTTTCTCGCTCTTCTCACCCTTCCCCTCCCCTCCTCTCTCTCCTCCCCCCCCCCAGGAGTTTGCCGATTCACTCAGCATCCCCTTCCTGGAGACGAGCGCCAAGAACGCCACCAACGTGGAGCAGTCCTTCATGACGATGGCGGCCGAGATCAAGAAGCGGATGGGCCCCGGGGCCACGGCCGGCGGGGACCGGCCCAACTTGAAAATCGACAGCACTCCGGTGAAACAAGGAGGCGGTGGCTGTTGCTGAACGGGACACGATGGCTTTGTGGGGAGGGGGGAGGAAAGGAGGGCTGGGGGGGCGCCTGGGACAGGCGGGGCAGCGGGGTCCTGCCCCCTCCCCACCGTCCAGCCCCCTCCCCCTCCTCTTCCTGGTTGTTTTTTTTTTTTTTTTTTTCATTCTCTGAAGGGGGCTTTCCGGATGATACCTCCGTGCTGGAGGGGACGGGGCCTTCCTCCCTTCCAGCGCAGCTGCTACTCCGAGTTGGGGGTCTTGAGCTGTTTGTCCCCCCCCCTTCCCCTTTTAACTCTGGACAGGGAGGCGGGAGAGGCTGGTGGTCTCTCACCAGGCCAGGCTTTCCCTGCCCCTGGTTTTTTGGGGTGGGGGAACACATCTCTGATGGATAGGGGAGACGGGGGGGGGCGCTCCCACTCCCTTTGGCGGGATCTGGGCGGCATTTTCTTTTACTGTAAGGGGGGGTCTCGGCTCCCTGCCTCCCCCTCTTCTCTCCCCAGCTCAGATCTCTCTACTGCTGTTTGGTAGCCCAAGGTCGAGTGTTCCCATCTCCGCCCTTCGGTCTGCCTGCTTCCTCCCCTCTTCCTCCTCTTCCTCCTCCTCCCCCTTTAAGTAGGAGGCCCCTCCCCATCAAGGCTGTTGAGGCTGTTTCCCATCCACCCCTTCCTTCCTTCCTTCCTTCCTTCCTTCCTTCCTTCCTTCCTTCCTTCCTTCCTTCCTTCCTTCCTTCCTTCCTTCCTTCGTGTTTCCTTTTTATTCCACCCGGATTTCTTTTTTTTTCCCAAGTGTCACGTCATTCCTTCCCTGGCCCTTCCTGAAGCACCACCACCACCACCACCACTACTCCTCCTCCTCCTCCTTCCTCTTCTTTCTTCCTTTTTCTCCTCTCTTCTCATCCTTCCTCTTCCCTCCTTCTTTCTTCTTTTCTTCTTCCTCCTCCTCCTCCCTTCTTATTCTTCCTCTTCTTTCTTCTTTCTTCTTCTCCTCTTCCTTCAGGACACCTTCTTTCAACCCCTCCCTCCTCCCTCCCTCCCAGCCACCCCCTCTTCCCATCCTCCCCCTGTATCCCAGCCCACCTTGTACAAATCCATGCTCTGTTCCTTCACCAGCCCCCTGTAAAAAAAAACCCCTCCCCTGGACTAGAACGGACCTATTGAATTCTGTAACCCTTCCTCAAAATGGGGGGGGGAGGAAGAGGGAGATTTGAGGGGGTGGGTGGTCTCTCCCAGCTTCTGCATTCCACAGTCAATGAATGAATGTAACTCTGCTGGGCTCCCCCCAAGCTTGTGAATAATTTTGTAGGGTCTCCCGTCCCCCCTGGGCTCCCCACTTTCTCTCACCCACCCTCCCCGCCCCTCTGTATATCGACGACCAAAGGGAGCTCCGGGGATCCCTTGTCCCATGCTGCTGGGCCCAGCCCCTGCCAAAGCTGCTCCTTCCTCCCCCCCCCTTTTTTTTAGCAGTAGGAAGTTCTTTCCTTCCCCAGCAACTTGTCTGCCCCGGTGGTCTCTCTTCTTCTCATCCTCCCCCTCCCGCTTGCTCGCTCGCCCGACACCCCCCCCCCCACTCTATTTAAGGAACGTCAGGGACCCCGCCCCGGGTGGAAAGTTTCGTCGGCTCTCGATTCATCCGTCCGTTTTGTTTTTCCACCAGTGACATTACAAAACACAAGATGAGAGGAAGAGAGAGAAAAAGAGGGGAGGGGGGGAGAAAATGAATAAAAACATAACCAGCCTCTGCAAAATGAGGGTTTTCCAGGCTCGGTTGCGTGTGTGGTTTTTTTGTTTTGTTTCGTGTTTTTGTTATTTTTTTCTCGTCCTGCACAAACAACGGTGGCTCGCAAACTTTTAACAATTCGGTGCATCGTGGTTGAATTGGTGACGCTCATTTCAACTCGACTAAGAATTGGGTTTTTCAATCTTGGTAACTTTTAAGGGGGAGACTTCAACTCCCAGGATTCCCCAGCTGGCTGGGAACGGCCATTGCTGTAGGAAAGTCGAACACTGCCCTCTGGTGGTACACAAGAGAAAAGCACCCAAACTGTGGGAAAGGATCCCAGTGACAGCCCTGCCATTGACTCAGGCTGGCGATTAATTTATGCATGGATTTAATTTATATCCTGCCTTTATTTATCAACAGCGCAAGGCAATGAACATAATATTAACTCCTCTTTTTTTCCCCCGCAACGACAACCCTGCGAGGTGGATTGGCTGCTGTTAAACCGGGGGGGTGGGATATTTCAACCTCAGCAGAACATCCGTTCGGCAGATTTGATTTCAATACATTTAAAACATTAAATGATTTATTTAATCTGCCTAAATGCCTCGCCATCTCCTGTTGATGAATCTTTTCCATCCTGCCCAAAAAAAATCGAGGGGGACAGCAGGGGGCGCTCTCTCATTGCCTGGCTAGCCCGCCGCTTCCCTGGGTCTGCAACCTGGTGCCCAGGGGCTACCATCAATTGCTACAGAGCCAGTTCGATTTTAGGAAACGCTCAGATTTCACACAATCCCCCTTAACCAGTTTCTTCTGAAAGGTCTTCCCGCTGCCAAGCTAGCTTAGATTTAACCAGGATTAGCTTTGCGCAAGGAGGAGGGCGATTTCCGGCTCAGCCTATTTGGTAATTGACGGCTTCGGGGTTTTGTACCAAAGCGCAAAACTACACTCTCAGTCATCTCGGCTAGAAACGGGGTTTATTTAGGAAACAGACTGGGAGGACAAACCAGGAATTAGCCATAGTTTAGAATTGTGGGCTGCATCAACTTTCGAACTTTGTACAAAAGATCTCGATATTGGAAAGGAAGGGGAAAAAAACCTAGAATCTTGGACTGCTGTCTGGGTGAAGCTTTCACCTATATATCAAATTTATATGCAGCTTTTTCCTTGCTGCTCTTTTTGGCCACACGACAGCCCTGTGAGGTAGGTTGTTAATTGCGAAGTCGTGTCCGACCCATCGTGACCCCATGGACAACGTTCCTCCAGGCTTTCCTGTCCTCTACCATCTTCTGGAGTCCATTGAAACTCATGCCTGCTGCTTCAGGGACTCCATCCAGCCACCTCCTTCTCTGTCGTCCCCTTCTCTTGCCCTCCATCTTTCCCAGCATCAGACTCTTCTCCAGTGAGTCCTTCTCATTAGGTGGCCAAAGGACTTGAGTTTCAACCTCAGGATCTGGCCTTCTAAAGAGCAGTCGAGGTTGATCTCCTCTAGGACTGACCAGTTGGATCGCCTTGCAGACTCGCAGGAGTCTTCTCCAGCACCAGAGTTCAAAGGCCTCCATTCTTTGGCGCTCGGCCTTTCTTAGGGTCCAACTTTCACAGCCCTACATTGCAACTGGGAAGGTTGGGCTGATCCCAAATCAGCCGGGAGCTTCTGAACTGGACTTCCAACTCCCAGAATCCCCCCCAGTCGGCACTGGCAGGCCTCGCCTGAATTCTCGGAGTCAAAGTCCCCCCCTCCCATCTTCCACTGGCCAAGGTTGAGCACTGACCTATAAAGCCTTGCTCAGGCAGCAAGGAGGATGGAATTTGTAGTCCAGGTGCAGATCCTAGGAAGTAAGATCTGCGGTCAGCATTGATGGGTCTGGTCATCCCAGGTGCCTCTTTGGGCAGGGAAGGATGGGAGTCGGGGTCCAGCAGAGAGCCCCCTGGGGGAGGGTGGAATTTGTAGTCCAGGCGCAGATCCTAAGATCTGGGCCTGGACTACAAACCCCATCCTCCTTGCTGCCCGAGCAAAGAAGGCTAAGTAAGATCTGCAGTCAGCATTGATGGGTCTGGTCGTCCCAGGTGCCTCTTTGGGCGGGGAAGGATGGGAGTCGGGGAAGGATGGGAGTCAGCGTCCAGCGGACAGCCCTTCTCCGTCCTCCCCCCACCCTTCCAAAAACCCACCTGCCCCAGGAAAGCAGCCCCTCCTGCCCACCTGCTGCGGTTGCTGCAGAGGGGGGGGTCCCCCCAAAAGCGACCCCGACTCTCTTTCCCCACCACCCAGGAGCCTCAGCGGCCGGCTGGCACTCCGCAGCCCCTGGTTCCCAGCCGGGGCTGGCTCCTGCGCGCTCACCTGTGCGGCGCGGCCCCGCCCCCGGCCTCTGGCTCCTCCCCCCCCGTCTCTCCGCGGCGGCAGACGGCGGCGGAGCCGGGAGGATGCGGGGGGCGTCGCGGCTGCTCCCGCCGGTCTGGTAGCGGCTGCCGCGGCTGTGCGGCCCCCGGCCCGGCGCCTGCCTGCCTGCCTCCCATGGCCGAGTAGCCCCCCGCCCAGGGAGGAGGTCGCCCCGGGCCGCCCCGCCAGCCAGCCCCCCCCCCGCCATGGCCTTCACCTTCGCCGCCTTCTGCTACATGCTCACGCTGGTCCTCTGCGCCTCGCTCATCTTCTTCGTCATCTGGCATGTGAGTGGGGGTCTCTCGCGCGCCCTCTCGCGCTCTGCCCCCCCTTTCGGGATGGGGGGCCGGAGGAGGGCGGGGGGAGGGGGCGGAAGGATGGGGAAGGGGAGGGCAGGGGGCTCAAGGGCCAGAGACAGGAGAGGAGGGGGCTCAGGGGCCGGGGAAGGGAGGGCAGGGGGCTCCTTAGCTGGGGAGGGGAGGAGGATCAAGGGCCAGAGAAAGGAGGGGAAGGGGCTCAGGCCGGGAAAGGGAGGGGGCTTCAAGGGCCAAAGAAGGGAGGGCAGGGGGCTCAGGGGCCAGAGAAGCGAGGGGAGAGGGTTCAAGGGCTGAGGAATGGTGGGCAGGGGGCTCCTTAGTTGGGGAAGGGAGGGGAGGTGGATCAAGGGCCAGAGAAAAGAGGGGAGGGGGCTCAGGGGCCAAAGAAGGGAGGGCTGGGGGTTCAAGGGCTGAGGAAGGGCTAGGAAAGAACTGGAATTTTTTTGGGGGGGGGATCAGCACCGGTCCAGGCTCCCTAGCAAGGGTAGGTGGGCTCTCTCTGCCAAACTCCAACTGGGGTGGAGGGGAGCAGTCCAGCCCCTAGCATCATCTATCTCAATCTTCAGCCCTCTTGTTTTAAGGAGAGGGTCTTTCGGCAGGGGGGGGGGCAAATCTGAGCAATTTGGGAGGGGTGAGAAAGCCCCCCCCCATGAGTCCCTCAAACAAGCAGAGATGCCTTCGGTCCTAGCAGAGAGGAAAGCCCTGCAATTTGGGTCTGGGGGTGCAAAGCCCGTCTTATTTCTGTCTGGGGGAAAATGGGGGGGTCGTGGGTCTTTTTGAGGGGGGGGTCGCAGAGAAATTTGGATCGACTGGGAGTCACTAGCCTAACCAGAAGGAAAACCATCTATCCATGCTTAAGCCATCCATCTATATCAAAGAGCCCCTAAAAGGGGTCTTGGGGGTGGGGAAGCCCCCTCCCCAAATTCAGAAAAAGCCACCCCCTCCCTTGCAACTTTCCAGCTATCCCCTACCTCTTTTAGGGGGCTATTAAAAAAACAAAAACAAAATAAGAGGGGTTCCCCCCCCCTCTTCTTCCATTCTGGTGACGTGCTCAGGAATCCCAGGAAAGGATTTTTTTTTAAAATTTATATATATTATATATATAATTTAAAAAGAACTCCTCCTGTTCCTCCATTTTCTGCCATCCACCTCTCTGCCCCCTCCCCAATTTTCTCTCCTCCTTCTGTAACCAAGGAACCTGACTCCGGTTGCCATGGGAACTACATATGTTTACAAAAGAGAGAGCCCTTTGCTAATAAATGGGATGCTGGCATCAATTTAACTCCTTCCCTGCAGGGGGGGGTCTCCTCTGTGTGTGTGTTTGTGGGGTGGGGGGACAGGATGTGAAGGAAATAAAGCCCCCTAGATCTGATTTGAGTGTTAAAAAAAGCTTGGAATCCTTGCTTCTTTTTTTAAAAAAAATAATAATAATGGTTCTGACACACAGCCATGCGGAGAACAATCCAAAGATTGTTTCCTTGATTTAAAGGAAACAAACCAACATAAGATTGGAACATCGGTTGTCAAAGCAAGAACATCCAATGTTTGCTTCTCTCTCTCTCTCTCTCTAAGCTTTAACCAGGTTTTGGCTGCCAAAAATCCCGCAGGATTTTGAAGCCTCGGTGTAAAATAAGGCTGGGTCCCCATTGCAATATTCAGGAATTCATAGCGACTATGAATATTGCAAATTTTCAGGAATGTTATCCCAGGTTTCCTGCCCAGATCTTGGGTGTTTCTTTAAAAAGCTCCCCTAGATATCATTCAGGATTTGGGGATGTGGGTTCAATGGATCTGGGATAGTTTCAATTTCCTAGGGTGATTTTCCAGCTTTTATTTTTGAAATAGGAAAGTCTTTGTAAAGTTGGTTTTATATATATATATATATATATATATATATATATATATATATATATATATATATATATAAATAAAAAGACCCACATTCGGGTCTTTTCCCGTGTAAGATTGAGAGTGTCTTGGCGACGTTTCGACGAGGTCCCACTCGTCATCTTCAGGCTGGGGTCTTCGGCTTCGTGCTTGTGCGAGCAAAGTGTGATTGGAGCTGCCGTCTCTCTATAAATATTGGTGGGGGTGTGTGTGGAGTGCTGGCTTAGTTGCTGTAGGTGGGTTGGTTGGCTGTGTTGGAGTTATTGTTTGTGGATTGTTTGGCTGTTTCGTAACATCCTGAGTAGCTGAGGTGCTGGCTATGTGTCGCCAAGATACTCTCAATCTTACACGGGAAAAGACCCGAATACGCCAAGACCTGCATACCTGTACCCGTGAAAATCTACGAAAACAAATACACACACACACACACATGCTAGGTGTGCCTCTGTTTAAGGTGTATGTGCTATTTCTTAGTAGGGGGGATTATTTGGGGACCCGTCATCTAGCTTCAAAAAGCCCCCCCCCCGTTGAAACAGCGGAGGGGGACCTGTGGATTTCCAGGAGCTGGAGAAGGCCACTTCTAGGCAACTTGCCAGTGGCTCAAGTGGGTGCTCTTGGGAGTTATAGTTTCTCTATAGATGCACTCTGGAGAGCCCATTTGGTTTAGAGGTTAAGGCCTCAAGCAAGAAAGCAGGAGATGGTGAGTTCTAGTTTTGCCTTAGGCATTAAAGCCGGCTGGGTGACTTGGGCCAATCACTAGGAGACGGTGAGTTCTAGTCCCGCCTTAGGCATGAAAGCCAGTTGGGTGACTTGGGCCAATCACCAGGAGACGTGAGTTCTAGTTTTGCCTTAGGCATTAAAGCCGGCTGGGTGACTTGGGCCAATCACCAGGAGATGTGAGTTCTAGTTTTGCCTTAGGCGTGCAAGCCAGTTGGGTGGCTTTGGGCCAATCACTAGGAGAGGTGAGTTCTAGTCCCGCCTTACGCATGAAAGCCGGTTGGGTGACTTTGGGCCAATCACCAGGCGGCTGGGAGTTCTAGTCTCTCTCTCTCCCTCTCTCCCTCTTCATCGGGTATGTTTTCCGCCTTGAGTTATTTGTATATAAAATCCTAAGGCTAGAAGGGACCTTGGAGGTCTCCTAGTCTGACCCCCCTGCTCATGTCAGTCAAAGGGCTGTCCCATCTATTTTTGAAAAGCTCAGGGCACCAACAGATAAATACATAAAACTATAATTAAAAACACAAGGAATTCAATATTGATTCGACATTTGCAGGCTCCAAAGTTTCGGGCGATGGAATGCAGTCTCCTCTGCTTCGTGATCTCGCCGGAAGCAAGGGAGGGTCTTAAATCTGAAGACCTTCCTGACCTTAAATCTCAGCGGCTGGGTGTGGGAAATACAGTTTTCATTCCCGCAACCAAAAACGAAGACCAGAATCCATGCTTAGCCTTTTTTTTCTTCGGCTGGTTTTTTTCCCCGCTCTTGGCAAGAAATCGTTCCCAACCGAAACACGCTTTTGCAAGAAAACCAGCCAGGGTTGAGGATGCCGCCCCCCCCCTGCGTTTCTTGGGACTGAGTTCAAATGCTGCGCAAAACCTCGCCTCGAGGAGATTCTCACGACCGTGCCTCGTGCGCGGGCAGCTTCAAATCGGTTTTAGGCGACAAGGCTTTTCTCCCCCTCCTTGGCCCGCTGTGGCACCTTGCCACGTGCGCGCGGCACAGACAGCTCCTGAGTTTCTAGTCCTCATGAAGAGAAGGGAGGGTTAGCACGCTGAGCTTGGCAGCCGGCCTTCTCCAAAATATCACCAGACAGGGCAAAGCTTGCCAGACATTGAAAACAGGCTCAACAATTAGAGGCAAAAACCTAGGTGGGTTTTTTTTGGGGGGGGGGATTCCAGTTTCCATTTTGGGGGAAATTGATTATCTTTTAGGATTTACGAGCGACTTCTGAGTTGCAGGATCCCCCCTTTTCTGACCTCTGTTTTTTTTTTTTTTTTAATTTCTCCATTGGCACCTCTGTTTGAGAAATAGTCCGCGATCCAAAATAAGTCTCTGCCAGCAGGGCTGGCAAAGCACTGGATGCCAAAATTAATTTAAGAAAAGCCATCGAGGAACGGATATTTTTATTTTTCCAGGGGTTACAACACTGTATTTCTTTTTTCAAAGGCATCCCTGGCTGAGGGACGGAAATCTTGGAAAAACCTTGTAAACAGGCATCAAACACCCCCCCCTCCGCCTTCACCAGCCCTGATGGTGTTCCCTAGTCGGGTAACGAGATGTCTGCGAGCCAATAGCCCAGTCAGCACCAGAGTTGTATAATCTTAGCTAAAGATCAAACAAACTTAACCTTCATCGAGCTTAATTAAGCAACCATTGGTCTGACATGGTATAGGGTTTCCTGCCTGAGCAGGGGGCTGGACTAGAAGACCTTCAAAGTCCCTCCCAGCTCTGTTATTCTGTTAGAGTTTTTGAATCAACGGACTTGGGCTGACACCAGGGACTAGCCACTTAGTTTTCACCCATTGCTGCCTCCTACAGAGGGAAGGATTTCATGCATCCTTCCAGAGGTGACAAGTTGCAGGTCCTCTGGGTGGAAAGGACTAGCTGGATGGGAAGGATGGGAGATGTAGTCTCTGGCTATCACGGGCTGGGCTGGGCAGGGGATTCAACACGTCTGAATTGGGACCCAAGAATCAAAGAGATAATTTGTGGATTATCTAGAGGGGGGCAGAGACCCTCAATGGATCCCAGTTCCCCCCCTCTCCTTGTCTGCTAGGTGCAAATTTAACACACAAGCACCCCAAAATTGACAGCTCCGGTTGCCCTAGCAACCGACAGTACTTTCAAGGTGAAAACAAGAATAAAAAGAGAGTTCGTTGCTCTCCCGTATATTATTTCTCCTCTTCTCTTCCCCCGCGTCTCTGTCATTCCAGGGTATTCTCAAGGACCCCCCCACACACACACACACACCAGCGAGCCCCCAGGATATTAGGCAGGGGGCAACAACTGGCATTAGCCCAGCTTCCAAATGTCCAAACTTTTGGGCCCCCACCAGGATGGGAAGGAAGAAAAAAAAGGGGGGGTG